GCTCGGCTCTGGTCAGCAGTGGGGCCCTTACCAAACATGGGGCGGCTTCTAGATCCTTCTCACAGAAACCACCCCTATGGCCCCCTGTTACCAAAACCTTGCCACATAAACCCACTACAGTGTGTCAGCTTCAAGCAGCCTGGAGGTTTGGACAGTGGAGAGCATTATTATGCAGTTAAAGGAAAGCTGTTTACAAAGTAAGCCTGTTCGCACTCCTTTTGACTCCTGGGTCCAACCAAATTTTGCACTTTGGGGAGCCACAGACAGGCAGCAAACCTTGCAGAAAGCCTGTAAATATGGAAGGAAAGAATAGGAGGTCTGCAAACTGTCTACACAGACAAGTGATTCCTACATGCCACCAATGAGTGCAAAGTGAGTGCAAAAAAAGACGGGGTAAGACTGGGCAGGCTGTTTTACCTTACCACAAATATCACTTCTAATTTTGCATCTTATCAGGAACAGTGTGAGAAGCTTGCAGGGTTTCTTCTTGTGGCATTGAGGAGTGACAGGAGAAAATTTAATTTGCTGTTCTTCATCTACGTCAGAGTGACATGTGCATCTTATCACAGAATCATAGAATAGCTTGGGCTGAAAGAGCATTAAAGATCATCTAGTTCCAAACCCTCTGCCATGGGCAGGGACACCTCCCACCAGGCCAGGTTACTCAAAGCCCCATCCAACCTGGCCTTGAGCATTTCCAGGGATGGGGCATCCGCAGCTTCTCTGGGCAATCTGTTCCAGTGTCTCACCACCCTCAGAGTACAGAATTTCCTCCTTATATTTAATGCAAACCTACCCTCGTTTAGTTTACAGCCATTACCCATTGTCCTATCACTACACTACCTGTCAAAGAATCCCTCCCCAGCTTTCCTGTAGGCGAGATCCTGCACAGCTTTACAATATTGGATCCAGACACTGTATTTGGAGCTGCTCAACATTACAGTTTTCTTGCTGTTAAAACTAGAACAAACTCAAAACCTATTTATAAAGATGTGAGATAGCACCAGCAGTTGGGTGACACCTAGTCACCCAACTTAAGACACCTTAAGACAAGGGAAAGTTTCTGTACAGTAAACAGACCCAGGGATCCTCTAGCTGACTCTGTCCCATTCTCACAGTTTGGCCAATGAAACTATGGAGCATGTAGCTCCTAAAATGGCACTACAACATAACACCATGCAGCGATACTAAACCTATTCCTGAAAGAAATATGAATACACTCAGGGAGTATTATGCAAACTTAAGGCTTATGATTAATGTTTGGCTTATGCTGCATTTTCAAACTGTAAATCAGCTAATCAGCTGCTTTGACCTCAGAGGATTAATGGAGAAGGGACATAAAATGTCCTCTTCAGCTGTTACACGTTGATCCAAAAATCACCCACACTGGTGCCTCTTCAGAAGTTGTGTTTCCTGACTAACATAGAGACACAGAGCATGTGTCTCTTTGAAGGCCTGACACATCATGCCATTTCTCGTTCTGCCAAAAATATGCAAATTGAGCTTTTTTTTTTTTTTTTTCCAAAAAACAGGTTTCTGCTTTCATTTGGGAGAAAATGCTTAACCACATTCGTGAAAAACATCTTTTGTTCTGTTGTCATGCATACGTTGGGTCTTGGAACTATTTTTGCTCTTGCTATATCATTTCTGTGTAGACACAGCTTATGTGTCAGGATTGAATGGAGGGCAGGGACAGGTGATGTAGTGGGGGCCACCTGATCAGGAAGACCGAGAGGATGATAACCTCTACTGATAGATAGGAGCAGCCTCATGTGCACAAGCTATGGTCCTCATGGGGGAATTCAATCAACTGATTATCTACTGGGGGGACAGCACAGCAGGGCATAAGGGAATCTTCTGGATTGCACTGTTGATAACTTTCTTCTCCAAGTGATAGAGGAACCAATAAAGGAGAGGTGCTATGCTGGACCATGTTCTCACCAGGGGGAATGTAAATCTCAAGGGCAGCCTTGGCTACAGTGACCATGAAAAGGTGAAGTTCCAGATCCTTAGGGCAGTGAGTAGGGTGCACAGCAAAATCATTATCCTGGACGTCAGGAGAGCAGACTTTGGCCTGTTCAGGGTTCTGCTTGTTGAGTACCATGGGGGGAAGAGGGTCCCAAAAAAGCTGGTTGATGTTTGAAGGTCACCTCATCCAAGCTCAAGAGTGATGTGTCCCAGCAAAGAGGAGTTCAGGCAAAAATGCCAGGAGGCCTGAATGGATGAACAAGAAGCTCCTGGACGAAGTCAAACACAGAAAGGAAGCCTACAGATGGTGTAATCAAGGACAGGTAACCTTGGATGAATAGAGATGTTCGAGCAACTAGTGATCATGTTTGGAAAGCTAAAGCCTTGATAGAATTAAATCTGGCCAGGGACATAAAGGGCAACAAGAAAGACTTCTACTAAGTATGCAGTGATGAAAGGAAGACTAGGGAAAATGAGGGCCCACTCCAGAAGGAAATGGAAGACCTGGTCACCCAGGATATGGAGAAGGTTTAGGTGACTTTTTTGTCTTCACCAGCAAGTGCTCTAGCCACACTACCCAAGTTGCAGGGACTGGGAGAATGAAGAACTGCCCACTGTAGGAAAAGAACAGGTCTGAAACAGTCCAAGGAACCTAAATGTGCACAAGTCCATGGGACCTGATGCGATGCATCCGAGGCTCCTAAGAAAACTAGTAGATGAAGTTGCTAAGCCACCATCCATCGTAATTGAAAAGTTGTGGCAGTCTGTTGAAGTTCCCAGTGACTGGAAAAGTCACTGGGAACATAACCCCCATTTTTAAAAACAGAAAAAAGGAAGGTCTGGGGAACTACAGGCCAGTTGTCTCACATCTGTTCCTGGCAAGATCATGGAGCAGATCCTCCTGGAAACCATGCTAATTCACACGGAAAACAGAGAGGTGAGTGATGACAGCCAGTATGACTTCACTAAGGACAAATCATGCCTGACAAATTTGGTGGCTTTCTATGATGGAGTTACAGCTTAGGTGGATAGGGAAAGAGCAGCTAATGTCATCTACTTGGATGTGTGCAAAGCATTTGACACTGACCCGCATTACATCCTTATTTGTAAATTGAAGAGACATAGATTTGATGTATGGACCATTGAGTGCATAAAGAACTGTCTGGATGGTTATACTCAAAAGAGTTGCGGTCAACAGCTCAATGTCCAGGTGAAGACTGGTGACAAGTGGTGTTCTCAGGGGTCAGTGTTAGGACTGGCATGATTTAACATCTTGGTGACAGGGACAGTGGGATTGAATGCACCGTCAGCAAGTTTGCCAATGACACCAAGCCGTGTGGTGCGGTCAACACACTAGAGGGAAGGGATGCCATCCAGAGGGACCTGGACAAGCTTGAGAGTTGGGCATACATGAATCTTACGCAGTTCAACAAGGCCAAGCTCAAGGTCCTGCACCTGGGTTGGGGCAATCCCAAGCACAAATACAGGCTGGGTGGAAAATGGATTGAGAGCAGCTGAGGAAAAGGACTTGGGGGTGTTGGCTGACAAGAAGCTTGTCATGAGTTCTGAGGCTTGGGAAGAAGAGGAGAGAGTGCAAAGCAAGAAGCAGGGTGTGTGTCTTCAAGGATGTGAGCATGATAGGTTTGGGAGGATGGCACCTTCCTCCATCTGGGATCTGGAGTTCCTAAAGTAAGGACTTTGGGATCCCCTTTCCTGAAATTAAGAACCTGAAGCAACCCTTGAATACATCTGCATGTGTATGTATGTGAATGAATGTATATATGAAGAGAGAGGAAATGGTTCTTCTTTACCCAGTAGCCCTGTTATAGTTCTTGAAGAATATGTTGCCATCTTTTTTGTTGCTCAAATAAGCATTTATTTAGGATAGGGAGCCTTATGTGCCACCCATACAAGTGTTGACTGACAGCCCCTATGCTGTTACAAACAAAGGCTCTCTCAGTGTCTCCTGTCCTGTTGCCACTTGCCCATTTCCATCCAGAATATTGAGAGATGTAGGATTTCAGGCTTTGGCAGGATTGGCTGTTGGTTGGATTCTGAGAATCACAGTTTGAAATGAAGTGGTTGATGCAGTTCTTTGACTTGATTACACTAACTTGCTTATTTTCTTAGTTAATTGATAGGCAGTAGTATTTATTTTTGTTTGATGCCAATATATATATTTATTTTCTAAAGGAATGTTGCTGTCTTGGGCTTTTGAGCTAGACTTTTAAAGAAGTTGCTGTTCTAACTCCACTATGCCATTTGCAACTTCTGTGAAATTTTGCAATTAAATACTCTATGCTTTGCATGTGGCCAAAGATAATTTTGCATTTGATGAGAAAATTAGCGGAATGGTTAAACTAGAGGAGAATAAGAAGAAAAAAGCAGCAGCAGTAGTCTTTTGAGTATTAAAAGTGGTGTGACATAGAAACAAGCAGAAAAAGAAAATTTTGCAAGGGAAATAGCTTTTTTGAGGGGAAAAAAAGTGCTGTGGTCTGTGTTTGCATCACTAAAACTATGTCTTTGAGTTGCATTCCATGCGAAGAACAGGTCGAAAGGCAATGCCACTGTTTGGTCTTTGTTCCCAGGATAAGAGGCATAGCTGGCTGTGCTGCAGTTGCTGTGGGTGGGCAGGTCTCCTTGTGTGCACGGGGCTGCAGACAGGGTCCTGGGTTTGATTTAACTACACTTGGAAATGCTTTCTGCATAGATTGTGATCTCTGCATGCAGCTGTAGCTTGCTGTCTTGCTGAGTGTGGCCCTGGAGTACACCTGCACTGGAAGAACTGGTGATGCTACTCTGAATCTATTTCCACTGATCCTAGCAGGCTGCCAAGTGAGTGGGGGCTGGGAAGCAAGGCAGGAAGATAAGGGAAGAGATGGCGAGTGCAGAGAGGTGCAAACACCTTACTCATGGGGTACCTGGATCAGAGAACACTTAGAGTAAGACCCATTTGTATATGTCATAAACATGTAACTCTGCTGGGTGTACTAGGCCTCCATCATCCTTACATTGCTGTTTCCCTTCAACAGAAACAACCTGGGAGCGGCCGAGCAGCATGCCTGGGACTCCAAAGAGCCCTGTGACACAGAAGAATACTGCAGGTACTGTTTGTTGCTGTGCCTGACCACTGCCTTGGGTGAATCTCTTTCTCTACAAGTTAGCAAAGCAACTGAAAATGCTGTGATTGAATGGGATTTATATTTAATGTACACAATTGTGTGGCAGAGCAAATGTGGTGAGGCTTTCCCTTCTGCTACATCTCACCTGCTGTTTCCTAACTGACGCATCTTCTGGCCTGTCTGAAGTGCCTGCTCAGACCTGAGGTGGCTCCTTCCTTGGAGCAGTGAGGCAGTTGGTGGCCCAGCAAGGCACTGGAGCTGCAGGCTTCAGGAGAGGAGGACAGACTGCCTTTTCCAGTCCTGCTTTCTGCAGGCTCTCGAGGGAACATGGGCACAAGGAAGTCTTGCAGCATGTGATAGCTACATTTCTGTCAGCTGATAGTAATGCAGTCCAAAGGAACGTTTTTTGCCAAAATTTTTCAAACTGATGCCTGTCTTTACTGGCTGAGCCAAGTGGGAAGCATGCTTTAAGGATGCACATTTTGTTGTAACCAAAGGATTTGTAACATAGCTGTGTATCTTCATTTAAGCCTACTATGAACGTTATTCTTTACTCACTATTTTCCAAAAGTAAAGCACCCTACAGCTGTGTACGTAAATCATAAACATCTTACAAAGCTTGCTTTCTTGAAATTAACAGTCCGTCTTCATTAAACCAGTGCTTTTACATAGACTAATTCTTCAAACACATCATTTTACCAGACTTGGCTATGGGAACTGTTTGAGTTTTGGTCCATTGATGGTGGTCCATCCATCATTCAGTGGTTAAGAAATTGGCTGGATGGTCACACTCAAAAGAGTTGTGGCCAACAGCTCAATGTCCAAGTGGAGATCAATAACAAGTAGTGTTCCTCAGTGGTCAACGTTGGGACCGGCACTGTTTAACATTTTTGTGGGTGACATGGACAGTGGGATTGAGTGCATCCTCAGCAAGTTTGCCAATGACACCAAGCTGCTCAGTGGAGCTGACATGCTCTGGCGGGAAGGGATTCCATCCAGTGTGACCAGGACAGACTTGAGAGTTGGGCCTGTGCAAATCTCATGCAGTTCAGCAAGGCCAAATGCAAGGTCCTGTACCTAGGTCAAGGCAATCTCAAGCACAAATACAGGTTGGGTGGAAAACGTATTAAGAGCAGCCCTGAGAAGGACTTGCAGATGTTGATTGACGAGAAGCTTGCCATGAGCTGGCAGTGCCTGCTTGCAACCCAGAAAGGCAACTGTATCCTGGCCTACATCAAAAGAAGCATGGCCAGCAGGGTAAGGAAGGTGATTTTCCCCTTCTACTCTACTAAGATCCCACATCGAGCCCTGCATTCAGCTCTGGGACCCCTAGCACCAGAAGGACATGGAATTATTAGGAGCGTCCAGAGGAAGGCCACAAAGATGATCAAGGGGCTAGAGAACCTCTCCTACAAAGACAGGCTGAGGGAGTTGGGGCTGTTCAGCCTGGAAAATAAATGGCTCCAGGGAGACCCTATAGCTACTTTCCAATACCTAGAGGGAGCCTACAGGAAGGCTTTGGAGGAACTCTTTGTCAGGGAGTCAGGGAGTATAGTGAAAGGACAATAAATAATAACTTTAAACTAAAAGAGGGTAGGTTTACATTAGATATAAGGAGGAAATTCTTTACTCTGAGGGTGGTGAAGCACTGGTACAGGTTGCTCTGAGATGTTGTGGCTGCGCCATCCCCGGCAGTGCCCAAGGCCAGGCTTGATGGGGCTTTGAGTAACCTGGCCTGGTGGGAGGTGTTCCTGTCCATGGTAGGGGTTTGGAACTAGATGATCTTTAATGCCCCTTTCAGCCCAAACCAGTCTATGCTCCTATGACTTGGGGCCTCTTTTCCTTGACTCTTCCAACTCAGTTAACTCCTGTCATAACTGCTGATAAAAGCCTACTGCAAGATGCTGAGAGGAGATTCTGTGTGCTGATCTTCAGTAGAGTACATGCATTTATATTCAATTACATGATTAGTTTTTAAAATGTGTAGTTACGCATTTGCTACCTACAGCAAGCCTGCTCACTCTTCATGTTCTTACAGTGAATGGCTACCACATTTCTGGGACGCCAGTACACCAACTAGACTCTGGTCATAGGAGCCTCCGGAAAGCCAGTGGGGAACCCCAGGTAAGTTTGGGTGAAAAAATCCAAGCAGTGGTACAAAGTCATATGTGGGTGTCTGCTTAAGTAGTTTAGGAGTCTGTCAGAGTAGGATATTTAAAGGCATTTTCTTTAAAAAAAAACTGTCATATTCATTACATCTAGAAAAGTCAGTCTTTGTGTCTAACTGGCAAAACAATGCAAAATGCCAAAATACTTTGAATTTTTGTGCCCTATCACTTCTTTCTGAAAAATCCCTCAGGCCACTTCAGTCACTGTTAACAACCCTCCAAAATTTCCTGCCCTTCTAGCCTAAAACGTGGGCCTACCTCTAGATGTGCAGATCTGTCCATATCTTTCTCATTGTATTTTCTTGCAGCTCGTGGTGGTTTTACCAGGGTGGGCAGCCAAGTTCCACCACAGCTGCTCTCTCACTCGCCCTCCTCAAAGAGGAAGGGGAAGAAAATATGATGCAAAAGGGCTCAAGGGCTGAAATTAGGATGGGGAGATCGCCCAGTAATTATGATGGGCAAAACAGTCTCAGCATAGGGAGACAGTTAGATTTATTGCCTATTACTAACAAGCTAGAGAAGTGAGAAACAAAGGAAAGAAACTAAAAACGCCTTTCCCCAATCAGCCCTCTTCCACCTCCTCCCCCTGAGCAATGCAGGGGAACGGGGGAATGGGGGCTGTGGTGAGTCTATAGTGCTTTGTCTCCGCCGCTCCTTCTCGGTCACTCTGATCCCCTGCGCTGTGGGGTCCCTCCCGTGGGATGCAGTCCTTGCCGAACTGATCCGGCGTGGGCTTCCCACAGGCAGCAGCTCTTGAAGAACTGCTCCAGATATGGGTCTGTACCATGGGATCCTCCACGGGCAGCAGCTCCTGCCAGGTCACCTGCTCCTGTGTGGGCACCTCTCCATGGGCTGCAGGTCTGACCCAGAATCTGCTCTTGTGGGGGTCCTCCACAGGCCGCAGCCTCCATCAGTGCAAGTCCACCTGCTCCACTGTGGTCTCCTCCACAGGCTGCAGCATGGAACCCTGCGCCACTGTGGCTCTCCATGGGCTGCAGGGGGACAGCCTGCTCCACAGTGGTCCTCACCTCAGGCCGCAGGGGACTTTCTGCTCTGGAGCCTGGAGCACCTCTCCCCCTCCTTCTTCACTGACCTTGGTGCCTGCAAGACTGTTTCTCACTCCTCTCACTCTCCCAGCTGCTGTGAAGCAGCATTTTTTTTCCCTTTCTTAAATATGCTCTCAGAGGCACAAACAACGTCGCTTATTGGCTCGGCTCTGGTCAGCAGCAGGGCCTTTACCTAACATGGGGCAGCTTCTAGATTCTTCTCACAGAAGCCACCCTTATGGTCCCCTGCTACCAAAACCTTGCCACATAAACCCACTACATAGCTCCAGCCTTCCCTCCCAAAGACATTATTCACAAAGAATTCATCTGAAATGGTTTTCTCAGTTACTTCATCCATTTCTGCGTGTCCTTTCACAGGCCCTCCTCTGCAACTTACATAGCCTGTGCAACACCCATCTCATCACCTCAGGCTAGTGTTCAAGATGCTGACTCAACAGCCACTCTCCTCTGCCTGTTTGTCTCATCTTTTACTAAATATCCTTGCACTTTTGATTGCACCACCTCTTGTCTCCAGGAGAGTATTCCCTGCATTTCATCATATGCCACAGGGCCCTCTTCCAGCTCCAGCACTGAAACTTCATTCTCTGCCAAAACTGCAACAGTTGAATAGGTACTAGGTAGCACTCCTGTACTTCCCTGCCTGCTGGCTCTTTTCCCCTGGTAGTACAGGACCTGAGTTCTCTTTTTCATTTCTCTGTTAACTGCTAGGTTCTCCTGTAGTGCAACTATTTAAATACTGACAGTGGAATGCACGTTTTGTGTGCAGTTACCATGCTGAACTGGATTGCCTGTTGCTCTTAGTGTCCCTTTGTTTTCTTGATCTAAATTTTGTGTTGTCTGCTCACTGTCCCCCTTTGCCTTCACCCTATTTCTTGTCCATGGCCTTTACTGTTGCCCCATAACATCAGGGGTGCTCTTTCAGCTGAGCCAGTATTTCTGGTTTTACTTTCCCGGTGGATTCATGACATCTCCTGTGATACAATCCGTCATTTCAGGTTCCCTGTTCTTTCCACATTCATTACAAACATTTCACATTTAATTTTTACACTGCTTCTTCTCTGAGGATTTTACACAGACTAGAGGCAGAGCACATGGACACCTAACCTAGCTCAATGGTTTTGACACCTACCTCAAAACCATTTTAAAAGCTGACATAGTGCATTACTGTACAACCCTGTCCACACGTCTGCTGTGTCTCCCTCAGAGAACCCAAATAAATTTGCAAGGTGTGACTTCTCTTTTAAAAAAGCAGTATTAATCATTGTGCAACAAATCTAATTTCTCAAGATACCTGCTATACATGTATCTTGGTACATAGGTCAGATTAACTGACTTCCCCCAAACCTTATTTCTAACATTTGCCTCTTTTAGGGTGCTGAGTCTCACTCAAGTTCACCTGTTGCCTAAAGTCATTGTTTTGCTCAGATTCACATTTGAGATACACATGGAGTCTATTTTCATGCACTGCTTTGCTTAGCTGACTCAACCATCACACTGACAAAAATCCTTTTCATTCTTTCTTTCATTCACTTTGGCAGCCTCCATGATACTTTATTTACATTGTTCTTACATTACCAGCTTTCCCAAACTGAAGTCCTCACCTCATTCGTGTTTTGAACTTTGAACTAGTTTTGCATCTGTAACTAGCTGCTGGTTGCATTAATACTAATAGAAGCTTATGTCCACACCCATGTGGGAGCGTGCTGTTCCTGGGAGCTGTGGATGCTTTTGCAGAAGAGTCCTCAGTAAAGAAAACATCTGACCATATTGTTGGTTGCAAGAAGGTGTTTTTCTAGTGCTGCTCTCTAGGCCTTCAGACTCTTCTACAGATTGGCCTGTTCCTCCCCTACCTCTGTCTTGGGCCATCCCAAGCTGCTCTGCCTTGACTGCCTCCTTGCCTGTTCTTGGCACAGGCTTTCTGCTGGAGAGCAGCTTCCAGACATTCTCCAGGACGCTTAGACCTGGGCATCAGCCATCATGCAAACAAATGCTGGCAAGATCCCTTGGGCAAGCTCAGCCACATTTCTTGGAAACAGCTCAAGGGGGAAAAAGCCACAACTGAGAACAAAACAGAACTGTACTGTGCTGGGCACAGGGCCAAGCCTCACTTACAGCTTCCTAGAGAGCAGCTAAAAACTGAATGCTGCTGGTTCAGGTTGTCACAACCAGCACAAGTGGAGCAGCAGAACTGCCTGCTGGTGTGTTGCAGGCCAGCAGCAGGCCAGTGTGAAACCTCACATGTTCAGCCCTGGTCACTTCACTGTTGATGTGACTTTAGCTTGACATTGAATTTCAAGTTGTAGCTCAAAGGAAATGCTATGTTCAGGGGCTCCAGCAGAGCCCTGGCCCAGGCTAGCTCAGATACATTCCCCCCTACCCCACCAAGAGTATCCCCAGTGGTCCCCATAGTCTTCATAGCGGGTGGCAATCCCCAGAACACAGGAGCAAGGGGAGGGAGCCAGAGCAGTGTGGGGGCCACAGCACACGACCACGACGGTGGTGGCAGCTCACGTGTGCTCGCACGCAGTGGAAGCGATTCCTGCCGCCTCCGAGCAGACAGGCCGGCTGTGACACACACTCTCCTGCTGTCACGCCCAGGCGGCGGGGCTGCGCGCACGGCCGGGGCAGGCGTGCACCGCGCTGGGCGCGCCCGCGTTACGGCCGCAGCGCCGACTCTGTCCCCGGCCGCTCCCTGCAGAGCGGCACGGCGGAGGCGAGAGGCGGAGCGCCGGAACGGTGTCTCCCCGAGGGCTTGGGCGAGAGGCGGCGGGGCCGGCGGCCCGCCTCGGTGGCTGGCAGCGGGCTCCGCCGCCCGGCCCGGCCCGGCCCGGCCCGGCCCACCATTGGCCGCGGCGAAGGGGCGCGGCCCTGCCGGACGGCAGTGCCGCCTCCAGCTCCCGTGCCGTGCCGTGCCGTGCCATGGAGGCGGCCTAGCGCCCACCCCGCACGGCTCGCGCCCGCCATGCTAGGCTCCGAGAGCGCCCTTGACGATGCGCCCCACTTTTCTCCACAGACCCCGGGTTCCCCGGCGGCGCCGCGGAGGCAGAGCAAGGAAAGCAGCCTGACGGTGAGTGCCGCCGCGCCGATGTGGGCTACCGGCCCCCTGGGGTGGCTGCGAGTCGCCTTCCTGAGAGCTCGGAGGCGGACAGGGCCGAGGGGTCTGCAGCGCCACCCCGTCGGGGTGAAGGGGGGGGGGTCGGTGGCAGCCGTCTCGTCAGCCACAGCCAGAGCGCTTGGGGCTGATCCCGGGGACCGATCTCGGGGCAACGCGGCAGGAACGCCTCTGAGGGCACCTGCGCCTGGCGCCGTGCCCGGCTTTGCCTTTCCAGCCCACGGGTGCTAGGCGCTCCGGGGTCGTGGCCGTAGGGCGAGCGCAGCCGGTAGCGGAGGCGAAGAGCCAGGCTGCCGGAGGTGCCCGGTGGAAGGACGGGTGGTGTTGCAGGGAGGAAGTTCCGGATGGACTACAGGAGCAGATTTTTCACCACGAGTACTTTTGCAGTGTTTAAATACTAAGTCGGTGCCATGAGAAGCTTGGGATTTCCACCAAAAGGGTGGAACTCCGTCTAGAATGATCCTTGTGCGTCCCTTATAATTCAGGAAGTTCTGTTCAGTTCTGCTCATCCTTGGAGATTTTCAGAGTGCAAATTCTTGTGTGATTTTTGCCTTCAATTCTAGTGATTCTGTGGTAACCAGGAGGTAAGAAAATAACTGAAAAAGGGAACAGGCATTCTCTAAGGATTCTGGCTGTTAATCTGGTGTCCTGAGAAAATTTACTATGCTTTTAACTGTTCTTCTGCACTCCCCGAAATAGCCTGAATAGTTGAAGAAGCACTGAAAGGATAGAAAAATGCAGGAGATGGGTCATTGCCCTGCTAGAGAACAATTTTTGGCGTTTCAAAGGCATCAAAGGTATTTTTTTGTGCCAGAGCAACTGAAGATTTCTGATACAGCCTAAGATTTTAGGTATCAGCATGAAGTTATTGATACATTACTTTTCATAATAATAATTAAATATAGTTGGTTCAGTTAAGATGTTCTCACTATCGGGTTTATAAATCTTAATATATTTTGTATGAGTGATTATCTCATCTGGAACAAAGTGTGAAATTCTGGACTCCTCAGTACATGACAGATGTTTAAAAACTGGAAGTATATCAAAAGAAACTACTGGAAGTGGCTGGAAGTACAATGGTTTATTTAAAAGGAAATAATAAAGATAAATAAGAAAGTAATTGAGTTGCTGCGAGAAAGGAGAGGGAATAAGCATGCTTGTAGTTGTGAGCATTGCCAAGGTATAAAATACAAGACAACAAAAGGAATGTTATAATTTTAATGTTTGATTTTATATATTATGGTTAGCTGTTACTACAGGAAGGAGGCTGTTGTCTGCATTGTTACATACAGCTTGTTGATTTGTCCCTTGGTGAATATGATTCCCAGGGTTTCTGGTGACAGGAGCAAGGGTTTGGAAGGAGCATGTTCAGGTTTCCCCTTATAAGTGCAGTGCAGGTCAGTCATTGCCACATAGCAACATTTTTCAGGAAAAAAACAGATACACTGTTGAGGATTCTTTTTATCAAAATCAGTTGTTAAACATAAGAAGATGTACTGTTAATTAGAGCATTGAGAGTGGTATGTCATGAAGTGAATATAGATCTGTTGGTTTGGGCAGATTGGCCAGAGGGTTTGGACGTGACTTTTGGGTGGATTGCACTGTAATGCAAGAGCAACAGGGTGAAGACTTAGGCTTCTCACTGTCATGTTTGTTGGCCTGTGTGCCATCTGGTAGCATCTACAAAGCAATAAAGCGTTGTGTGTTATGTAAGGATCCCTGTGTGTGCCTTTCTCCAACAGAAGTCCAAAGCTTTCGAGTATAATGAATCAAAGAGGCCAAAACCAATCTAATTTTAACAGCTGTTTACTCTAAGCCATTGCCTGCATCAAGGAAGCATTGTTAAAAACAGCATTCTCATATGGACTGTAAAGCAATGTAAATTACCTCTCCCCTCCATGGAGGTTATGTTTGTTCTGCCCTGCTCCAGCTAACTTTGGGATACTCTTGTTAGCAGAGTTTCAGGGCATGTCCTTGACTTGTTGAATGTTTTTTTCTTGGTCTGTAGCAGTGCTCAGGCAGAACCTCTTCCTGCAAAGAGGAGTTTGATCATTAACTTTGGAGTTCTCAGTCTAGCAAACTCCACCTAAACACAAATCCTGTCATAGGTAAATTGCAAACATCAGGTAATGACACTTGATCAGCAACTTTAGCCTCGCAGAGGAGTGGGACTTAGCTTCTGACTTTTTAGAAGTGCAAGTGCCTTCTCTACAGAGTGCAGTTTGGGAGTGTGACTTGCTCTTGCTTCTGGAAATCCTGAAGACAGTTGTGGTCTGGAGTATTTCAACAAGATGAAGGATATGGTGATTTTGGTAAACAAATATTACCAACGCTAAGAGTCTGTTTTCTCTGGAAAGGAAGCCCCTGATGGGTTGTATCATAGACTGTTATGAAACTGACATTTGCACAAATTGTTGATGCTCACTTAGAAAGCAGAAGTGCAGGTCTGTGGTTTGCATTGATTTTGCAGTGACTTTCAAAGTTCAGTCATTAGTTTTAGCCTGGATGGTTTGCTGTCTGCCTTCTGAAGAGATAATCCTCTGGACAAGAATTACCTGTGAAAGCTGAGGTTCGTGTAGCGGAAGTGAGGGAGAGTTAAATGGAAAAGGTAGAATGGGATACCATGTCCTGGGAGAAGAGAGTTGTGTTTCATTTGAAGAAACTTTCTGAGTGTAACTGATGATACAGTGATTTAGCATTAGGCAAAAGACCATCAATGGGACTGAGCTGGTAAATGAGTGTTTTTTTCATCTATCTTTCCTTTTAGAAACAAGGAAAGGAATATTTCAGAGAAAGGTTTGTGAGGGGAATGAAATGGGATGAGAGCTCATGGCCTTGTCCTGCTCAATGCCTGCCCAGTCATCCCTGTCCTGCTGAGATACATTGTGAAGTTTTAGAAATGTTTGGAAATTTAAGTCCAAGACTTCTTGTTTAAGTCTAGGAAAATCTGGCGATGAAAGGAAAGAAAGAGTCATAAGATTTCCTAGACAATTGTGTATTGTTTTAGTAATATTTCTAGATTTTTGAAAATTGTCATGCTTCCTCAGGGACTCAGTGTAGGAAACCGTAAGTTAACTTTACTGCACAAATAATCTTTTTTCTTTGCTTTTTTTTTTTTTTTTTTTTTTTTTTTTTTTTTAGGATTTCAAAAGCTTCTGCATCGTACTTCTTAAATTCTGACACCAGTTTCCTTTTGGATGTGGTACTAAACGTACCTGATGTTTTCCAGCCAATTTCAATATAGTTAAGTTAATATTCCAGCATCATTTCGATATAGTTAAGCATAAACTTCTGAGCAGTGAAGAATGTTTAATTTATTAAGAAAACTTTGAATCAGAGAATGCTTTTTGAGAAAGACACTAATTTAACCCTACTTTCATCACCTGTTGATCTGTACTCACTATTTCTCTTCCTGCTGTGTACATGGAAGTAGTGCGGTGCATTCAGTCCATCTCAGTGGGACACCTTCACCTCTCCAAGTGTGGGAATTTCTGGTGATTTTATTTATTTATTCACATATCAGTGACATAACAGTCTTAGTAAATAGCTTCCAAATGACACAGGTTTAATTTTTGTCAGGGATGTGACATTTTTAGCAGGAAATACATATTTCCATTGCAGTTTCCTTTCTCAACTAGTGTTGTATATGCTTCTTGCCATCTGTCACATCTGTGTCTTGATGTGCACAGAGGGGTGATGCCCAGTCATCTGGTGAAGGATGCAAAATAAAATTAGGAGATGCATTCCACACTGCTCCTTTTCATCTGTTGTGACAATGTTGTGCCTTAGAAATCTGCCTTGAAAGCATTATTGTCTTGATGGCAAGCATTGGTCCTTTGCCAGTTGAAATAAATGATCTTGGTCCACACAAAACTTCACTCAGTAGCGTATTTCCATGGGGGACATTCCTTGACATTCTCTGCAACTCCACCAGTAAGAGGATAATCTGGGAGATTGAAACCGGAATAGCTTCTTTCACCATTGCAGTATTGATGCTCATGACTGGAGATGTGATTTGTTGCCAGTGTCTCTAAAACCTCCAGACAATCTTTTCACCTCTTTTGCTTTCTCCTGCTGCCTATTTTTAACTTGAGGCACAACCTAAGTAACTGTAGCATGGCAACTGCTCTTAGCAGGTGGTACCTTGTCCTGGAGTCCCACGAGGAGTGTTGTGTAAGCACATGCTGTAGCTGTGCGCAGGGCAGTGTTTCATGCACACTGTGTTTGTCACCAAAGTTTTATTCAGTGAGTGTGAGATGCAGTATCAAAGCCAGAGAGTATTTAAACCTGTGCCTCCCATCCCATTCCTCAACATGGTTACATATAACATTTTTGTTGCTAGCAATATTTTACATTCTCTATCTTTGCTACCGGATGACCTACTGTTTTTCATACTTACACCAAGCAGTTCATCTCTATAACTGAGAGCAGCTGTGTGTAGGTTTTGAGGTCATTTTATGTTTTAAGGCAAAATACATCATTTTATTTGAGAAATGGTCAGCAGGGAGGTATGCTTAGGTACAAGAGCAGCTTGTGATTAGCGATATCATGGAATTTGGCAATCTGTGAAGTCAAGCAGAGACTTACTGTTGTCTGCAAAGTATTTTGTCGTTGTGTATCTTTTTGGTACTGATCCAGGTGGGTGCTTGTTAGACACTGTCTCGAACTAGTGATTTGCTTAGGGTCTTTGGCTGTTATTTTTAAGACCTTTGTACTGATCTGTCTGAACTTCCTGATGGGGTGAGGGTTGCTGACCTCTCCTTGCAGGGTGTTGAACTAGTATACGCTGGCAGCCCCTTGCACCTGAACTTTCCAGTGCCCAAGATCTTCTCAGCAAACCTCTGCTTGGGCTGGCCACACACAGAGGAGAGTTGTAGGCTCCTCTCTGTGGCTGGGCTATTTCCAGGGAACAGCGGACTCTGCTTGCAGGCTTTTAGAACTGGTCCCTGAATGGAGAAGGGAAGGTAACTCAACCTACCTAACCAAAAAAACAGGACAAGATAGGCTTGCAGTGCTGTCTTGAGATGACTGAACTGACAAGGAACAGGAAAATGTTAGCTGAGGCAGAAGGTTTATTCAGTAAAACATTCCTCAGAGGTAGGCTTAGTGCTGGAGGCTATGTGGTGACAGAGATCGGCATGCAGGTGCCTTTCACTGCACCATTCACTCTGAACTGAGCCAGAGTTTTATGATCTGTGATGCTTTGGATGACGGAGTGTGAAAGCTTTGGATGACAGAGTGTGAAAGAACTGAGTGTTTTCACCTGCTCCTATTGTCTAGGGTAGATGGATGTTGTGGAACATGTGGCCTGGGTCCTGAGCCTGCTTTGAAACAAGAATTAGTATGCTCTGTAAAGAATGAGTGACCCTTCTGAAGAAGGAGGTTGGAGAAAGATGCTGGATTGTGTACAGGACAGCCACTGAAACTTCGGTGGAGGCAAACAGTTGGCAGAGTCAACGTGGATTTGCAGGAACAGTTTTGTATCAGCTAAAGGCATTGCTGCATTGATATGGTATGGTGGATTTATACAGTCAGCTCTTCATAACAGGGTGCTGTGTCCTTTTTGATCCCCTTTGAATAGTCCAAAGGCAGATTCAAGACCTACAAGCATTAGGTTTAGGTCTGCCTGCCCAAAATCCTTTCTTGGTTTTCCCTTGAATATTAAGTAATTCCCCTCCCACCCCCCAAAAAAACAAACAAACAAACAAAACACACACACATACACAAAAAAAACACAACACCCACAGCAAACAACAGACAGTTACATTTGTGATACTTTTCCATCCCTAATTTTGGTTAATTCTTCGATTAATATACAAGTGTCCTTAGTGTCCAGTGAACCTGATGGTACAGTAAGAGGTCCCAGCAGGAGTTTTACAGGAGCATTGTGTACTGACAATGAGACCTGACTCTTGCTGGTGCTTCACTTGAAAAGGGCTTAGTTGCATCCAGAGTTTTCTGCAGCGTGTTCTGCCCTAACTTTCACGTTCTTCGCTTACACTGTGCTTTTATCAGGCTACATTTTCTGCTGTGATAACTTAATGAGCACTTTTACATTTTTGTGCCTTTGTTTAATGTCTGCATGATGGGTTCTGTCTCAAAAATTGCTGTGTGCTTCTGTGCACTGAAGCTTAACTGATTTAAAAGTTTCTATTCCTTTCTCCAGGAGCACCACTTTTATCTGTAAAGGTTTCTGATACAGATTGAAGGGCTATGTGATGAAAAAATAACACCTTTTTTGTACTCCCATAGGAAACTAACATAACCAAAATTGCTGATGAGATTCCACCAGGGAGGTGGTGGAGTCACAGTCCGTGGGGGTGTTAAATGGATGGTTGGACATGGTACTCAGGGATGTGATTTTGTGGCTGATATTGGTGATAGGGAAATGGTTGGATCAGATGATCTTGGAGGTTTTTACTAACCTTAATAATTTCATGATTAGGCTATGCCAGTAGCAGTGCCTTCAGTACTCTTCATTGTTTATGTTATTTCTTTTGTTCAGAGCATGTTCAGGGTGTTTCACATCAGGTATTTTTCCACAGCTTTGTAAGAGATCTAGGAGAACTTTCTGTATGGCACTTCTGAATCAGGAAGGTTTTCCTCTTACGAAACAAGTAGTTTGTCCTTTGAGCCAACGCTACTGCTTGCTCACAGGAGCTTTCTGGGAATACTTAGCTGCTGTTTCCATGCAACAACCAATTTTTCTTCACTGATATGTTCAGTGTAGTTTTTTTGATTGGTATGCATGTATATAATCTTTCATTTGCATATTTCTCATCAGCTAAATTTTATTACCTTCTAACTCTCTTCTGCTTTCCTTTCTTACAGATAAACTGTGTGACTTTTCCCCACCCTGATGTAATGCCAGAGCAGCAGTTGCTGAAACCTTCTGAGTGGAGCTACTGTGATTATTTCTGGGTAAGTGGGCAGCCAGCTACATGCCATTTTGTCATTCTTGAGCTTCAGAAAAAGTGGAACAAATAGCTTGATTTGTGGTACAACGTGAAGGAGAATTTGGGCTGAACTGCAGCATGCTAGGGCAGTGCAAGGGAGACTGAAGAAGCCAGTGAAGATCACATAGAAGCCGTCTAACCAGACTCAGCCATGTGGACAGTTATTTGAAGAGTGTCCAGAAAGGCAGCATGAGCTGTCAGGAGATAGTTTTGGTCAGGAAATGGGTAGTATGTACGACAAACCTACACATCTCAAAATACCTCAGCCAAAAGAGTTGCGCAGCAGGGGGGGGTATGACAGACAGGGAATATTATTTCATTGTTGTTAGAGCACAACAGCAATGAATGTACATGGAGGCTAGAGGTATCCCATTTACAAATTTTATGCAAAATTTTGAAGCTCCCTCTAACAGGATGTTGTGAAGGCAGATGATAAATTATTTTTTTTAAAGGATGAGATGTGTTGGGTTTATGTGCCAAGGTTTTGGTAGTGGGGGGGGACTGCAGGGCTGGCCTTTGTGAGAAGAGAGTAGAAGCTGCCCCCATGTTAGGTAAGAGCCAGTTCATGAACTTTTGTATGAATTTTGCATGTGTTTTCAGTTGTCAGTTACTGTAGTGTTTCCATTGTTTAAAAAAATCAGTTTCAATTTTAAAACAGTGTAGTTACAACTGCAGCAACATTCCCCTTGTAAGTGCTCAGTGTTGTGTGAGGCATGCACAGCAGATTATGACTAACAGCAACAACTTGCTAAAATACACTAACGTGCTTTACAAATGGTCATGTAACCAAATCATTAAGTGCTTTTTCAGTTTCTTCCAGTCTTCTGATCCCAATAAGCAACAAAATTAGAAATGACTTATAGGCTTAATTTTGTGTGTCTTTCAGAAGACACCACCCTGCTTGGTTCTTTCCATTTAAGTTTGATAACTGCTTCGTTGCTTGGTTTGGTTCAAATCCTGCCCTCAGTGGAACTTGAGTGAAAGTTGTCTTTCTTTTTTATCCTCCCATAGATCTGCTCCCAAGTCTTTCTTTTCAATCAGCCTTGTGATTCATGATCTGGCCATGACTTGCCTTCGTTCAGTCTACTCCACTCTTCCAGTCTCAGGCTTGTAACACCCTGTTGCCCAGTGCCTGGTGTTGTGGCCATACATCCTAAAGTCTCACACTTTGATTAATGTGGATTTTTTCTTGGTGCAAATATACAGTGCCAAAAGGTATTGGAGCAAAAAATGTAATCCTCGCAGAAGTGTTCTAGGGGTCTGTTAGAAGAGGGTGGAAATGAAATTCTGAAATATGGAAAAACAGAGATAGGAGACAGTTAGTCCTTGCAGCAGTGCTGAAGTTGGTGGAGCAAGGAATTAAAAGGGCCATGTATGGGAAAAAAAAAAAAAAACGGTGAAAGATGGGATGGACTGTGGTAAGCTATTGAACAAGTTAATGTTTTGCCTTGCTTTACAGCAAATCTGTGCAGACTCAGTGTTGTTTTTTTGTGTTTTGAGTGCAAATTGGCATAGAATTTTACAGTCTATTATAGGTAACTTAAGACTGCATTACCCCTGAATTGGGCAGCAGAGTCCTCCCCTTTTCTGTGTCAGTTCCCTTCTACTGGCTCCAGAACCCATTTTTAATTTGCAGGGTGTTGAGTTGTCAGGGCTTATACTTGCCAGAGCCAGCCCAGGAGAGTTAACAGGTATGAAAGGCCATGGGCAGAAGGGAAGGCACTGTGCTTTGGCCACAACAGCTTTAAAAACATTTTTTTTTTTTTTAAGGGGAAATAAGAGGAGAGGGAAGGGGAAAGTATCGGAATATTCCTCTGAGAGGGACTGGGGTGTTCAGATGAGAATTTTTGTCACAGAAGCTCCTTTCTGCAAAAGGCTCTTCAGACACCACTGCTGCGAGCTCATACTCCTCAGAGAGAAATCACACTGCTACTTGGAACTGTGTGTCTGTGCTTTTGATCCCCATATCTTTTGTTTGAACTTTCTTTTTCCTTCCAGGCTGATAAGAAGGATTCACAAGGGAACAATACAGTGTCGGGATTTGAAATTCTTCTCCAAAAACAACTTAAAGGGAAACAAACACAGAAAGAAATGGCAGAGTTCGTTCGAGAAAGGTAATTAGCACTTTGTCATCAAAGTGACTATTTCTGGCAATATTTTTTTTCATAATGTGGGTATTCTTTATATATGTCAATCACAGAGCTTAAACTGGTAAAACTGTAAAAGTTGTGCTATCGATTCATAAAGCACATAAAATGCTTCTCTAATATCTATCAACAAATTTATGGGCTGAGGCCAACTGTAAGAAGTTCAACAAGGCCAAGTGCCAGGTCCTGCACTTGGGACACAACAACCCCAAGCAGTGCTACAGGCTGGGAGATGAGTAGTTAAAAAGCTGCCTGGCAGAGAAGGACCTGGGAGGATTGGTCGATAGTCGGCTGAATATGACCCAGCAGTGTGCTCAGGTGAGTCCAGAGAAGGGCAACAAAGCTGGTGAAAGGTCTTGAGAACAAGTCATATGAGGAGCGGCCGAGGGAGCTGGGGGGTTGTTCAGCCTGGAGAATAGGAGGCTCACGGGCGACCTTATCACTCTCTATAGGTACCTTTTAAGGAGGCTGTAGTGAGGTGGGGGTTGGTCTATTCTCCCATGTGCCTGGTGATAGGATGAGGAGAAATGGGCTAAAGTTGTGCCAGGGGAGGTTTAGGTTGTATATTAGGAAAAACTTCTTTACCGAAAGGGTTGTTAGGCATTGGAATGGGCTGCCCAGGGAAGTGGTTGAGTCACTGTCCCTGGAGGTCTTTAAAAGACGTTTAGATGTAGTGCTTAATGATATGGTTTAGTGGAGGACTGGTTAGTGTTAGGTCAGAGGTTGGACTAGGTGATCTTGAAGATCTCTTCCAACCTAGGTGATTCTGTGGTTCTGTGAACACTCTGTGGTCTTCCCCAGCCCTCACTTGTGTCTCAGCTGTCTATGTCATACTGCATATAGTCCTTCCGTTTAGATGGAAGGAAACAAGAAAATTAAAGCTACTGAGTTGAGAGAAAACCAGGATATGGGAAAAACAGAGTAGAGGGAGTAGAGGTGATATTTAGAAATAAAATATTTTGTCTAAAAAATAGAGAAGCAGCAGTGATGAGTGGTGTTCCTCAGGGGTCAGTACTGGGCACCGTTTAGCATCTTCGTAGGTGACATAACCAACAGGAATAAGTGCACCCTCAGCATGTTTACCAATGACACCAATCTGTGTGGTACAGTCAACATCCTAGAGAGAAGGGTTGCCCTCCAGAAGGACCTGGACAAGCTTGAGAGTTGGGCTTACACTAACTTCATGCAGTTCAACAAGGCCAAGTGCAAGATCCGGCACCTGGGTTGGGGCAATTCCAAGCACAAATACAGGCTGGGCGGAGAATGGACTGAGAGCAGCCCTGAGGAGAAGGATCTGGGGGTGTTGATGGATGAGAAGCTCAACGTGAGCTGGCAACGTGCTCTTGCAGCCCAGAAAGTCAACTATGTTCTGGGCTGCATAAAAAGCAGCATGGCCAGCAGGTCAAGGGAGATGATTTTGCCCCTCTACTCTGCTCTTGTAAGAGCCTACCTGGAGTGCTGCATTCAGCTCTGGGGCTCCCAACATAAGAACATGAAGGTGTTGGATCAAGTCTAGAGGAAGGCCATGAAGATCAGGAGGAAGCCAGATAACCTCTCCTGTGAAGAGAGGCTGAGGGAGTTTGAGCTGTTTAGCCTGGAAAAGAAATGGCTTCAGGGAGACCTACAAGAAAGCTGGGGAGGGACTCTGTCAGGGAGAGTAGTGATAGGAGAAGGGGCAATGGCCTTAAACTGTAAGGGGAAAGATTGAGTTTAGACGTTAGGAAGAAATTTTTGCTATGAGGGTGGTGAGGCACTGGAACAGGTTGCCCAGAGAAGCTGTGGATGTGCCATCCCTGGAAGTGCTCAATGCCAGGCTGGATGGGACTTTGAGCAACCTGGCCTGGTGGAAGGTGTCCCTGTCCATGGCAGAGGGATTGGAACTATGTGATCTTTAAGGTTCCTTTCAACCCAAACAATTCTGCCAATTTGTTGACAGTGGAGCATAGACGCAGTTTTCTAGAAGATGTAAAGAAAACATCACTTGGAATTCAAGCTTGTTGTGGAGCTAAATTACGTATACAGATATTTAGAGTGAACCCAGAATCATAACGTTAGATGTTACTAACAGAAAATGCCAGAATGTTATTAATGGTCCATTGCTCTGCTGACATAAATGCACTCAGCACCAAACAAATAGTTGATAGATGCACAGTTCTGCCAGGTACTGGAGATAATATGACATCATTAGTTACAAGTAATGTCACTGACATTTGAAATAGCTTGTCATGTGTCCAGGCTAGTATAAATCATCTGTGGATGACTCTCAGAACGCAAGAACAGCCCACAGGGAAGAAATGGTGCTGAATCCCAAGAGAAGGGCAGAGCACATTAGTCTTGGAGGCAGTTACACCAGTTGAAGGGGCTGCCGTCCTCAGCTACTGATTCTCCACTGGTGCTTACTGCTGAGCTGGCATGGCCTTCCTGCTCTACTGCTGCAGTCACAGCATGGCTGTGCTGATGTAAATAGTGGTGGAAGCAATGAACAAGCCAAGAAACACATCCACATAATAGGGAAAAAAAAAAGGTGTTTTTTTTTTTTTTTTTTTTTTTTAGTAATAGTGTGGTGGCTATACAAAATATAGCACAGGCAATAAAGACAGTCTGATATAGGAGGTGCAGAGTGCCCAGAATCTATGCTTGGTTCCTAATGTCTTTGTAAGACAGTTGCCTGTATAACCCCTGGAAAAAATGTGAGCAGTGGAAGCAGGTAGAAGGAAGGATCAGCTGTCAAAGGAACATAGACTTGCAAAGCTAGAAGATGGAAGAAAAAAAAAAAAACGAACAAGCAGAATCATGATAGGAATGGACAGGGAAAATTGGAGAAAAGGTGCTCTGAAGAAAGAAATATATAATGAAATTTGTTTTTGTCCACTTGCACTTTTTGAGCTGAGGTGTGTTTATAAAGTGTAAAATACATAGCAGATTATTTAGCCACATGAAAAGAAACACAAGCATAATGTCTATACTGAGTCTGATAATGGTCTGCGTAGTCCAGAGACGTTACTCTGTGCATGTACTCACTGGTTAGCAGGAAAAGAACATCAGAGTCTTTATCCTTCCAACTTCTGATAACCAAAAGTTTGGGGATTTCCACAGCCAGAGTTTACATCAGGTCTGCCTTGTTCACTAGGTATTTGTAAACCTATCTTCCACTGTTTGTCCAATCCTTTTGAGTCTTGTTTTTTGACCATGGTAATGTTTTATACCAGACTTTTGTAATGCATTTATATGCAAGAAAGAAATTCTGTTTTCTGATAATTTCATTGTTGCCTCACAATCTTGAGAAATAGGGTAAAAAGACTCATAGTCACTTTGTTCACACAAATGACAGTTGTTTAGATGTCTGTCAGGTATCCTCTTCTTTGTGTTCTCCATGTTGTCATAATGTATTTAGTTTTTTTCTTACGGTAGTCTCATCAGATCATCTTGGCCTCTCTTTGTAGCTCTCTAGATTTTCTTCATCCACTATAGAATAGAATGTCTGGAACTCCAACAATGTGTGTGTGAGCATACAATGTACTTAAAAAAAAAAAAAAAAAAGTGCAACTGGAACTAATAAAGTTAAGACAATACGGATCAAAATACACTTAGAAACTGATGCTTCTGACTACACAGGAGTGAAATTCTAAAAGTTTTTGAATAAGATTGTGGAAACAAGAAACTTCATTTTTTTTCTGTGTGAAGCTAGAATAATTCATAGCAACCCTGGGACTTTCCAGAGACAGGATCACGATGTTCAAGACTCCCTGTATATCTGTTGTGTTGGTGTTTCACAGTAATCACAATGCAGTGTTTCGAAGGTAGGCATTTTGGCCAAGTTCAGGAAGCATTTTTTTCCCTTTTTGAGGTATACTTTTGACTTGTTTTTATCTTCCGCTGAAGCTAAGTTGCTCAAGGTGTTTTTGCTACAAAAGGTGAAGGGACACCAGGCTGAGGGTCACTTTTGTCTGAGGTTGTTGAGCAGTAGCCTTTTTACTGTAATTTGAAGAACTATTGACTCCTACAACTTGTTCCTTCCTGCTTGTCAAGGCAGCCTGTCCTCTTAGTAGTGCCAAATGACAAATTTGTTTATGCCCTGAGACTTCAGTCCTTCATTTAGTTTAGTCACACAGTTAAGCCTTTTTTTTTTCCCATAAATGAAATGTTGGTTGTGCTTGGGAGCATATTAAATAATCTACATCTTGGGAGAATATTAAATAATCTACACTGCAGGTAGTTTATGTGCTTGTTGAGGATTTCTCATGCTCATGTGTCAGTACTAAGTAATTCCCTGGAGATTCAGAAGGTGCTTCTCAGTTTGCCCCAGAGTGAGATTGATGGGACTTCTGGAGGCTTTTGCTTCCCTTAGTAATGGGCTGTTGCCCCTTCCAGGCTCCACAGGGAGTGTTTCTTAGAAAGTGCCCACTTTTGCAGGGAGCTAGATGTCCTTCATCTCTTGTAGCTTTCCTCTGGCACATTGCAACTGTATTTATTGGTGTTGGTACAACAGATGCAGGAAGCAGCATTGGTGGGGAGGGGTGAGGGAGAGCTGCAGGCTGGAACAGGGCAGCTTGGGATCAGGCTCGGCAATCAACCAACTTGGAAACAAGGTCATGCATAGGGGTTCTTTCAGTACCTAAAGGGTAGTACAAGAAAGCTGGAGAAGGACTGCTTACCAGGGAGTGTAGTGATATAGGACAACAACAATGGATTTAAACTAAAAGAGGGTAGATTTACATTAGATATTAGGAAGAAATTTTTTACAATGAGGGTGGTAAGGCACTGGAACAGGTTGCCCAGAGAAGCTGTGGATGCCACTTCCTTGGAAGTATATAAGGCCAGGTTGGATGGGGCTTTGAACAACCTAGTGTAGTGGAAGGTGTCCCTGCCTGTGGTTGCTGGGTTTGTAGCTTGATGATCTTCAGGGTCCCTTACAACCATTGTATGTTTTGATGCAAAATTAGTGGATTTAGTTAGCTTGTTTGGTTGGTTTTTAAATGGATGTTTTCTTTTGTTAGGTGTTCTAAATGAATGTGAGAAAAGTACTGGCAGATAGTCATGTGGGTGAGGGGAGACAAGCAGTGTTGAGACTTGGTTAGTGTGTTGCTGCTGGCAGACCTGACTGGTTCTGCTAGTTCTTCAGCCAGACCAAAGACCCATGGATGTTGACCAAGATTTGGGCAGTCAGTCATGGACAGAGACCATGAACTTCTGAGTGACAGAGGCAATTTCTGAGTCATGTTCTTGTAGATTTGGCCTTGAGCTGCTGGTTGGTTTTGTTCTCACAGGATGTGGAGTAAAAGACTCAGTGTGCTGGGTGAGGTCAGTAGTTCTGCTGTGCTGTAATGCTGCAGAGAGCAGGTAAATACCTTGGGCCTCAGCCAGCTGCATCTTGGGGTGACATTCAGACCATATTTTCATCATCCCAGAATATCAGACACATCTTAGCTGGCCAGAGGGACCCTTCTTGTCTGGAATGTATTAACGCGTAGCAGTGTTTGTTCAACTAGCTACTGCAGAATGGTATGCCAGAAATATCCCACCTTCTGTCTCCCTTTTCCTCTGTCTATTTGTAGCTCAGCACAGAATCAAGAACTGCTCCTGATTGGTTGTCACACTGCTCACTGTCAGAGATGCTAAACAGAGCAAACTTGTTTGAAAATCAGAAAAGCAGTTCTCGCTAGTTAGGAGAACCTTGCATATGTTTGACTCAGCAAAAATGTCAAGAGAGCTTGAAATGGGTTTCAAGCAAGGTGCACATCACCTCTGAACCAGTGGCTGTTCTTCCCCTCCTTGCTGTGCAATAAGCATTTACCCCCATTACCTCACTCAACATCTACTCTTATTCTTCTCCCTGCAGCCAATCCCATAACAGTCATGTGCCAACAGCTACTGTCTTTGTCACCCCCACTGCTGGCAAGCTCAGCTCCTCTTACTGGAATGATGATGCTGAGTGAATGCAGAGAAGGACCAGGATCCTGATGCAGCTACAGTTGGGATAGTTAAAGGGCAGGGGCTGCAATCCTGCACGTAGTATGCAGAAGCCTCTGCCACGTCTTCACCAGCTTTGTCATCTGAAACAGGGAGAAGGAAACATTCTGTGTTTTAGGGAAGGTGCAGCACCCCAGATTCAAGGATTATGGGAAACATGGAGTAGCCATTTATGTGCTGAATACTTGATGCCATGTGTCTGCTTCGTTTCCTTCTCTTTAATCAGGTAGAGTTGATCTCTATCCTTTCTGCTGGTGAATTTCTAAACATTTGTTCATCCTTACTCGCCCTAGGTCACATCTTTATTCTTGTGGGAGACCAGCCTCCTTGAGGGAGCTGGGCTTGTTCAGCCTGGAGAAGAGGAGGCTCAGGGGTGACCTTATTGCTCTTTACAGGTACCTCAAAGGAGGCTGTAGTGAGGTGGGGGTTGGTCTATTCTCCCACGTGCCTGGTGACAGGACGAGGGGGAACGGGCTTAAGTTGCGCCAGGGGAGTTTTAGGTTGGATGTTAGGAAGAACTTCTTTACCGAAAGGTTTGTCAGACATTGGAACAGGCTGCCCAGGGAAGTGGTAGAGTCACCATCCCTGGAAGTCCTTAAAAGACGTTTAGATGTAGAGCTTAGGGATATGGTTTAGTGGGGACTGTTAGCGTTCGGTCAGAGGTTGGACTCGATGATCTTGAGGTCTCTTCCAACCTAGAAATTCTGTCTGTGATTCTGTCTGTCTGTGATTCTGATTGAGTCAAGCCTGATTATCAGTGATGTGGCATTGCTCACATAAATTTTTTTTGTGTAGCTGCGCTCCCTCACCTTTGCTTCAGTGATGTGTAGCCTCATGTTTAGCAGCTCACTGAAACACATGCTTTGCAAGTGAGCCCAGTTTTGCAGACAGTCCATGTTATGCGACGGAAAAACTTTCTCCTTGTGATTTGCACTCCAGAACTGTAGATTTTTCTCTTTTCATCATGTATGGTGTCCTGCATATATCTGCTCTTGCTGCTGTATATTTAGCATATGAAAGGGGGGAGAGAGGGATCCTGAGACTAGTGCTGAAGACTGCAAGGAAAATTCCTGTTACAAGATTCCTTGAAATGCAGAGATTTTCCTTAAATTATGTGTGGCAGTTTCTGTATTAATGCTTGCTTACTGCTGTCTTTGTATTTTCTTTCTCTCTGTGTAGGATAAAAATTGAGGAGGAATATGCTAAAAATCTGTCCAAACTGTCTCAGAACTCCTTGGCTGCTCAGGAAGAAGGGTAAGTTTGTCTCTGTGACTTTTGTAGAAGATGAGAATTTCTAACATAAGTCATTCCTCCCACACAGGAACATGCATTTTTCCTGAACTCTCTTATTCAGTAGAGGTTTATCTAGCTTAGCATCCCAGTTGTGTTGGGGAAGACAGAATTGCTTTGGAGTATTTTTCTTTTGAAGATATTCATGACAAATTTTTAGGAATACCTATATAGAACCTTACATTTCCACTGGTGTGTTTAATGCTATCCATGTTTAAACCAGCAGTAGTTCCTCTAGGTATTAGCATGTATACATGCTAAATTAATTTGAATATGGAGGAATATATGTAATATATAAACATATATATACTGCTGAAAGCATGTTCACTGCAGAAAACGGAAGGATCAAAGAGGCCTTGGTGAGAAATACAGTGAGGTTTCTCTGGCACCAGTGCTTCCTTCAGTAGCAAAGGCTGCAGAACAAACCACAGTATAACTTTGGAAGTTATAGATAGATAAAAGACAATGCACTTAGGCTGGATTGCAATTCTTTGGTAATAATGAAAAAAGATAGTACTCTTGAAAGATTAAAATAGTTAGCTGTGTCTATTCCAATGTAAGCCCTCTAAGTACTGAAAGCCAAGGCTGGAAATAACTATGCTCACCCTAGTTCAGACACAGTGTGTTTCTTCTAGGAGTGAGGCTTCATGGCTTGTTTGCACTACTTCCAATAGCCAAGGACAAAAAAGCACCGACCATGGCACTGACCATGGTTTCTGTTCTTTCTCTTTTAGGGGCAGGTGTCAACCGGCTCCTAACAAAGCTAACACTGCTTTCTTCCACATCCTCCTTGTACTATCTACTACCCTCAACAGGAGAGAGGTGGAAGGCAAGAGAAAGCAGGAGAAGGGGAAGAAGAAGCAGGAGACAGGAGATGAAAAGAGAGAGGGAATGAGAACTGAAGTTTAAAAATGTTAAAGTAGGGAATTGAAGGGGGTGAGGAACAGAGCACCCCTGGCAGTGCTCAAAGCTCCCTTTAGGGAGCCAGGAACACTGCTTGGTGGTGCTTTACCTGGAAGGGTGGCAAGATGAGGGAACGGAAACAAGTCCTCCTGGAATTTCTTCTCTTGGTGCTGTGCTGGCCATCATGGTTAGGTCTAGAAAGAGAAGATCCTGGGAACTGGTGAGAAACAGAAAGGGGAAAATTTCCATTTTATAAAGTGAGGGAGGAATACCAGCAAACAAGAGGACTTGAAGGAGTGAAACATGGGATTTAAACCCAGCATTCTCAAAATACACATTCATCAGGGTCTCCCCCTCATTCTTGAAAAGGTGTGAGTCAGGGGACCTCATGAACTGCTCTGTGAACATGACAGTTTCTGCTGCTGTAATACTCCACAGAGCATTTTTTACCTTTGCTGTCCAGCCGTCTATGGAATTAACTTAAAATATGGGCTCTATTCCAGGATCCTCTACCCTCCTCTGGTGGTAATAGCTCCCACCATCTTTTGTGAATGGGATGTGAGGGTGAGGAGTAGCGTTAATCTGTGTTGGTGTGATCATTCTGGCCAAGCTGCTGTGAGTATAGTGCAGTTGCATAGGCACATAAAGTAATAAAATCCACAGTCATTTAACTCATTGTAGTTGGTTAAGAGATACAGAAGATGCTTAGATGCTGAAATGCCTTCTTTATTTTAATAGATCAACTACCATTATGCAGCTCAAATACCTAATGCCAGTAACAAATAGACAATGGGAGGGGACTTGGGGTTTAACTAGGGAAGGAGAAGAGTTGGGTGCACTTACGTAAGTGAAGCATTCTCAGTGTTCAGCTGCAGTGGGCACCATGCTTGACTCAACTTAGAGGAGCAATGACAGAGATTACAGATCGTTAATTTGAAATTGCTGATGAAACATTTTTTTAGGCTACCAAGAAGAGGCAAATATGACTGTCTCTGGAAAGAGGTTTATGGGATAGAGAGGAGATGGGAGATTGTAGATCAGTTGGCTTTATATAACCTCAAGAAAATGATTGAATAAGCAGTCAAGCACTTAGACTTAGACTTAGCACTTAGAAGCACTTAATGGAAAACAAAATGATGAGCAGTTATTTTGGGTGGATACAGAAGAAACTGTGCCAAACCAACCGAAGTCCCTGCAGTGACAGAATAACAGGCCATGTGGAAGAAGGAGTCAGCATCATAGCTCTTAATTTACTGTAGCTTTTGACGAGAGATTCTTGTAGGCAGGCAATTAAAATGTGGGCTAAATAAAGGCTGAGGTGCAAAACTAGGTATGAAATCCTATTCGCTACTTACAAACAGAAAGTAGCTGTGGAGTGACAGTCCACAGGGTTTGTCCCAAGCCCAGATTCTTTTTTCCATATTTTCGTTAATGACCTATCATAGAAGAAAGAATGGGTTTATTGAAATCAGAGATGATGAGACAAAGCTACGAGGGATGATGTAAAATTTGAAGAAAAGATCGTAGTTCAGAGTAATTTTGGAAAATTAGAGAAATTAACTGAGAGAAACTGAGAGGCATTTCAGTAAGGACAAAGTACCAAGTTTTTATACTTTCACATAATGTGGAAGATACAGTTACATAACAGTTTGTGGGAGAAGGATCTGGTTATAGTGAATCACAAGCTTATTCATCAAGAACTTCATGCTGTTGTCTGAAAAAGCAATCGTACTGAGATATGCAAAAGAAAGAGTGTCTGATAGAAAATATTCAAAATATTCTATTACCAATTTAGTGATTGGAAGACCTCTGCTGGAAGTCAATGTATTTTTTGTTACGACACATTAAGAGGAATCTAGGCTGCTGGAGATGGTCTAGAGGACCATTGTCTGGAAAATAACTTGTCTAAAGGATAAAGAAGGTGGAGAGAGAGACCCAGTAGTTTTCAAATACTTCTCCACAGAGAAGTGATATAACCAATTCATCAAATCTAAGATATAAAACAGAAAAGGCAATGGAAAAACTTCATTAGTGAAGATCTTAGGTCTTTTCCAACCTTAATGATTCTATATTTCTATGTTAAGTATTAAAAAAGAAATCTTGTTATGGGAAGGATAAGATAGTGGAGTATCTTGCTTAAAGAGACTGGCATGTCTGCAAATCATCATTATGAATACCGATTTCACAGATCTTTCACATACAGTCCAAATACAGTTCTTCCTTGGTCACAAAGATCAGTTATCTTTTCAGATTTCTGCTTTCACTTTTCCATGATTTTGCAGAGCATGATATGCTACAAAGCTTTGGTATGTCATATGAAGCTGTATGATTAATTTTGCTGTGAGGATATGCAGAAAACAGGACACTGATCATTGTTGCACTGTGGTTTTTTTCAGCACACTGGGAGAGGCTTGGGCTCAGCTAAAGAAGAGTCTTGCTGATGAAGCAGAGGTTCATCTCAAATTTTCTTCTAAGGTAAATTATTCGTTCTTCCTTTTGCAAAAATATTTGCCCTGTAATTGATGAGTGTCCCCTTCAGTGTGTGTATCTCTAGTAGGGAAAATACTTAATGCATATGGTACAAATTCTGAAGAACTAAAAAGCTGGTGAATGAGCTTTTTGAAACTGTCCATTTTTTCCTGCCAAAATCATAGCTCATTTAATCCACCTGATAAGTAAGCTAAAACACTTCTAGCCTTAGTTTTTCATTAAAAAAAAAAAAAAAAGATTCTAAAGGTTATTCAATTAGTTATCAAAGTTCCAGCCTGTTTAAGTAAAATTTCCTAGAGCTTGTACAGATTACTTCTGTAGAGGGAGAAATGTAAAAAAAAAAAAAAGGTTTCTCACAAGAATCTATTGCATCTGTCTGCAAGGAAGAAAAACAGGATTCTGACCTCTTCATGTTATTAGTGTTTCTTAAAAATGTGGCGAGAATTTAAACTTAGTGTTATTTTTAGATCTTCTTTCAAATGATGCCCAGGGAGATTTCTTGTACAAATAACTGTATTTCAGCTGTTTTTTTCCTACCATGTGACATATTCTTGCATCCTGTTACATTATGTTAACCTCTGTGGGTGATCATGTTCAATATAGATGCAGATATCTAAGCACGACAGCCATGTTCTAGAGGAAAATTATAGCTCTGCAGTGTTTGTAAGTGATTATGCAGATGTTACTCAGGCAACCAGCTGCTGCCTTAGTAATCCACTGCTCTGCTTCAAACTTCAACTTCAAGGTTGTAATTTGTGAAATACTTTTTGCTCCCTGTTGGCCTACTGAATTTATTTCCAATGGGAAGAAGTGTACCCTGGGTGGTGCACTACGTGTTACTGCTTAAGTCTCTCCCTTGGTGGCGCAGTATCTGCCCTATACCTGATAACTTCTTCTAGCAAACGTTTTGAGATTTCAAGTTCTTTGTAGCATCTTACCCATTTAGTGATAGGTGTCAGTTTTGTCTATATACAGTAATGCTTTAATTCTCATCATCTTAGGAAACTAGTTCATGTTTTTTTTTTTTGTTTGGTTTTCATCCACTGCATGCATTATAAAGTCTTTTAGCAAGATATTCTAACAAAAAAGAAAAAATATGGTAAACTATAATGCAACACCTAAAAGCCTCAGTCAATCTATGTGATAGCTTGTGCTATGGCTTTGCAAGATGGAAGTTCAAGTAGGACAATTAAGATGCTAGAAGGAAGATGACAGCCATCGCTGAAAAGCCTCTGTGACTTCCTGCACACAAAAATGGAGAAAGCTGATTTGTTCACATTTTGGGCCTCTTGGTCATGCATTTCCCATTTTTTTTAAGGATCTCAAAATTTCCAGTCCCATTATAAAATGCATAAAATAAACAAATGTCTTTACTTTTTGTTGGGCAAGGAGAACTACCACTGAAATGTACTCCTGTTTGGGGTCTCTAGCTCTGGGCAGTTTTATGAGGGTCTTTACAGCAATGCCTGCTTAGGTCAGACAAGTCAAGCTGCCATCTCTCTTACTGAGGATAATTAACTCATCTTGGGGTTGTTTACCCAGGTTAATCCATTTATTGATGGGGGAATCTGAAGGGCTCTCAGAGAGCTTAGCTTGTTTGAAAACAGGCATCTCTGTCAATTGTGATACATTGCCTCTGGAGTTCACAGAAGCTATCCTGAACTTCTCTCTGTGCCATTTCTTATTTTCATTGAGCACTGGGAATGCTTCTGGCACAGCTATAGGTTTGTACCTCGATATTGAGAGAGCCTCTCACAACTTTGTGGTTCAGCATGGTTGTACAGATCTCTATAAGCTTGTCTGGGGTCATCCTGAGGAGAGTGTCATAAAAATAGCATCTAGAGTTTTCTAGTCCAGCTTCCCAGTGAGAGCTGGCCTATCACCCGTAGTGGATCAAGTCAGCTACATCTTTGTCTAGCAATGTCTTGAATATCCCTAAAGACAGAAATTTCAAAACATCTCTGTTCAGCCTGTTCCAGTGCCCCACTACCATTCTTGTGATATTTTTCTTGAATGATATTCAACCTCAACCTTCCTAAGATCGATTTATGGCCATTGTTAGTTGTGACGTTGCCTGGCCCTACAAAGAATAATTTGTCTTTTACCTTTGCAGCTGAACTTTGTGTAGTTGTAGGCGATACTGTATCACCTTGGTGCTGGTCTCCACCTGCGTTATCAAGCCTAGCTTAACTAACTTCTCCAGGATGTGCTGTGAGGCTTTGGCTGTCTTTGTAGAATCTCCCCACTGAAAGGCTTTACTGAGCTTGAATGAAGGAAGTTTCCTTCTCCATTAAAATAGCACTGCAGAAAGGCTAAAAATACTTCGTTTCGGGGACTGTTTAATACTGCGCCACTGTGGGCCATGTGAGGTGATTATAGACTCACTTGTGTTGAAAGAGCCCAGCATCTACATTGAAGGGACAATAGAAAAAAGTAGTGGGTTGCTTCTGAAATATCTTTGTCCCTTCAGAGTGCATTTCCAAGAAGTCAAAGAGCAGTGGGATACAGACTCTGTCAGAGTTGAGTATTACTGACTACAAAGTCCTGATTGTAAGAGATAAGTAATTGCAGTCACACAGGAAGTCTTCCTGAGTCCATTTCACAGTGATTTCTTGCCATTATTTAGAGGAGTTTAGCTAGGCTCCCTTATATTTAGCATAAATAAATAAAATATATCTTTAATGCATCTGTTTAAATTGTACAAGAAATGCAGGTGTGTAACTTCAATGTGTTGAGTAACCTTACTGCAGTCAGGTTTAGCAAGTTTTACTTGTGTACTTTCTGGGAGGTAAGTTGCATCAGTTAGGTCAGAATTGGAGCACCTCAGTACTGTGATAATCGTCTGAAGTTTGATCTTACCTCTAAGAAGAGAGATACAATGTAACAGGGGAGGAAGACAAAACTTCAGCCTTTCTGCTTCCTTCAGTAAATATTCACTTAGCAGAGGTGTCTTGTGAGGAGCTGATGTTTGCAGTAGCATCACTCCAAGTTGTCTTGGGTACAAGAAGTGTTACAGTAGAACGCTGCCTGTGTCTGCAGCGTTTGTATTGTTCACTCTGTCCTGAGCTCTTCTCAGCAGAAGAGCCAGGAATTACTGCCCAGCTCCTCATTACCACCATTTCTTCCTTGTGTTTTCTTTTTCAGCTTCAGAGTGAGGTAGAGAAACCCCTGCTCAACTTCAGAGAGAACTTTAAGAAAGACATGAAGAAGTGTGACCACCATATTGCAGACTTAAGGAAGCAGCTGGCCAGCCGCTATGCAGCAGTTGAAAAGGTGGGAATAGAAACTGGAAAGTTTATAAGATAATGCTGTCTGGGACAGAAAAACAACTGCAAGTGGAAAGTTTCTGTTTCACTATGAGAAACCACAGATTTCTGCTGAGTGCTTTCTGCAGTTGTTTATTCTTTGTTGGGCTGCAAGCATAGTTTGGTGTTTTGGGAAAGTGGGTGCTGCAGACAGTGCTGTTGTGTTACTGCCGAAGTAACTTTTTCTTGCATCATCTCCTTTCCAATTTGGGATAATATATTTCTAATACATTTGATGAAAATACTCTTGGCTCATGTGCATCAAGAAGTTACATGTATTGCCCACAAAATCTTAAAGGCATTGCACTAGAACAGCTAGAACAGGGTCAGGCTAAAAGCTTACATGGCTCAATATCCTCTTGTACAATGGCCAGAAGCAGATGGCCAAGGAAGGGTAGCCTTAAACCTGGCACAATAATTTGCAAACCTTCTCCTAGTTCCAGTTTTATGTGCCTCACAGCAAACAGCAGCACCCTGGTTTCAGGGACTGTTTTAATATGACCATCCAGTAGTAGCTGAGGTCATGATTAACAGAAAGTTTTGTCTACAAATAGTTCTGTCTTTTTGGTAGCTGGCAGGAAACAGATAACTGTGGCTCAGCTGCCAAGACACTTACCCCAAATGGTGTGACTGTTTGTTACAGTATCCTCAACCAGTATACTGTTGGGTATGACCTGGAGAGGAAAATGTCTCTCTCTGTTAATCCAGGAGGTTGTTTGGATTTCCATTAAGGACCAGAGTGCACATGAGAAAGTTTGCTCAGGGGCAGAAATGTGGCAGGATATACAAGATTATTAGACTATTTATGCACGGAATGCATTTTTCTGTAAAATTCTTAGTTACTTACCATCACATCTGCATAGAAACACAATCCTTGGTAGGATATTGAAAAGAATGAATCAGAAACAGAAGTCTTGAGAGGGAAAAAAAAAAAGAGAAAAAGCTGTGTATGCTTTTTGCCTGAAGCACACAGCTTCCCACCATATTACTTTCCTGCAGCTCCACCTTTCGACCTACCGAGCTAAGAACACTGTCTATAAGTGAATTGAAAAATTCAAGTAACACCTCAAAAGCATTGTAAGTTACAGGAAAACTCTGTGGTGCTAACAACATATGATTATCCAAATTTAGTTTTAGATGCTGGAGAAAGAATAAGACCTATTTTATAACAAGTGAAATAGTCTGGACAAAGCTTTTTTTTATTATTATTATTTTATTTTTAAATATATTTAGGCAGCCTCACCAAATGGGGTGACAGCATGCATATATGGTAATTATAATTCAGACACTTCACTAATTTGCCTGTATAATTTCAGTAATTATACCGATAAATCAGGTTTTAAAAGCCTGAAGAACTTTAAAGTAAGGTAATTTAAATTATCAGTTGTAAACAGGTCTCAGGTTATTGATTTCTGTGTTATGAACTGCTGTAGTCATGAGCCTGAACTAGTTTTTCTAAAATAAGTCTAAGATTACATATTGTTAAAGTTTCTGATAAATATATATTGAAACCAGAGGGTAGTTGACAATAAATTCTACAGTGTACTTGAAATTCTTTCAACAAGTCAGATCCTAAGGAGAGAAGTAAGTGGAAGAAGTATCTTGGTGATACTGGTTAACAAAGTTGGAAGAAGCTACAGCTCCCTTTTGTTCCAGAAATAATGAGAAAGTTACTAAAGAACATGACTGTCTGATGATGCTTTTTGTACAGTAAGGCAGATAGGCAGAAACCTATGGAGAGTCCAGACAGTCAGTGAAAAATTCTAATAAGGCACTTCTTTGAACACCACATGGTGTCCTAGGAACTTGAATCCTTGTACTTGAAAAACTGGGTTAGAAACCTGACTTCTTACTGACACATTTGTATGAAAAAGTCATAGATGTCTGAAAGCAGCTGGAAGCTCTTTTCCTGTAAAAACATGTGATCTTCTTTAATTAATCCAAGGCCCGGAAGGCCTTGACAGAGAGACAGAAGGATCTGGAAGCAAAAACACAGCAGCTGGAGGTGAAGCTCAGCAACAAGACAGAAGAGGAAATTAAAAAGGCAAGGCGGAAGTCCACTCAGGCAGGTAAGTACCTGTGACTGTGAGCCATCAGGAGGTAAGTGCTGCACCAGGAAAGCCACCAAGAAGCTTGTGGCAGGAAAAATTGGGACAGAACTGCCTGTCCATCTGCATTCTTTTTTTTTTAAGATTGCAGCTATGAAGTCAATGTGAAGCATGGTACAGATATGTTTGGTTTTAAATCCTCTGAAGAGGAGAATTCTCTTCAAAGAAAAAACTAAGCCAGGTTTTTCTAAGTCAGACATCAGAAAATGATGGCTGATTACAGTAACTGGCCAAAAAGAAGAGTGAATTATACTTGTTTTCTAAAGGTGTGCTAGGATAACAAAAACTTGAAAAGTCAGATCCGAAGAAATTTGTAGTAGCCTGAAGTGATTTTGAGATGCAATTAGGGTCCAGTAAACTTATTTAACCTGCATATATGCTTCAGATTTCAGACAGAAACATCTGTATTGTGGCTTGATGTTGATGTTGCTGAGACAGCGAGATGCCTGTCTCGTACCTGAGGTCTCTGTTTTTAAATTCCTTAGGGTTTTCCTGACATGCTTGTAACTTACTCAGGTTGTATTTAGTTCAGTTGAAAATCTGCCAGAGGAGGACCTCTTGCCATTCAGGTAGCAGGCAGGTGCTTGTCCAGAATGCAGCAGACCTGTTTAGGCTCTCTCAAGTCAGGGATATAAACATATAGTTGCCCATCCACAAGGAAGCGTAAGCAAACTATGGGGTGTTCTGGGATAAGATAGATTGCTCTGCATCACTTTTGTTGAGGCTGAGTTAGTGTGCAATCATGAAGGCAAGTTTTATGGGCCCAGAGGGAGCAAGCAAGAAGGAGTCTGAATCTTCTTACCAGCTTGGGGATCCAGATGGCAAGCAAGGAGTTCGGGGCTTTTCTTGGTGTGATTGTGGATCTGCAAATTCACACTTTCAGGTATGTTCAAATACCTTACCAAAGCACTTTTAGCCCCAGGAGCTCTCAGAGGGGCAGGCAAACTACAGGCTTCCTCTCCACATATCACGTACAGGGTATGGAGGTAGTGTGGCCCACCCTGTATCCTGAGTTCTTCTGAACTTCTGGCTGAAACATAGCACTGCTTACAGTTCAAGCTAAGTACAATCTTAACTTTTAAACTTACTGTTAATTTTTCATGGCTCAGTGCCATTTATTACTGCAATGAAAGAGAACTAGGTGGTACCAGCCTCTGTTCTCTCACAGAAAGGACCTTAGCCTTTTCTGATTCATATGCAGCTCAAGTTCTGGAGGTTTGTCTTCCAAGTGGTGTCTACACATGGTTCTTGTTTCTCTAATGGGACAAACCTTATCAGTCTTTGCTATTATCTTCATAGATTTTTCTTCTCTTTTGAAGTTCTTCAGGTAACCATTGCATACACCACAAGTACTGGCAAAATTAAGGCCCATATGACCAATCCTATTTATAGTTGTTTGGGGGACAGCATTTGATTTTTTCACTTGTCTGAAGTTCGTGCCAAAGGTAGTTACAGATTTTTGCTCAACTGAGGATGTTTCTTCCTTAAATTGTAGTTCCTTCCTTGGTTATTCCCTAAGTCACAGTCACCCACAGCCATGTGGGTGCCTGTTACACTGCCTTTTTCATTGAAAGTGAACTTTTTGTCTATTTTTCCTGTTACTCAGTGATTAAAATGATTTAAGGAATACTGAGAATATTGTAGCATGTGTTATACTGTAGTGAAGACAAAACTACTCGATATGATTTGTACATGTGTTTTATAGAGTCAAATCGCTTTCATGGGATCCATGTGCATCCCGGTTCGTGCCTTTGATAAAAATATGTTTTAACTAGGGCTTCTGTGGTTCATCCTTTCATAGGTCTATCCCTTGGTAGAGTGGTCCTTAACAGTTTTAAGACTCTAAGGCTTCTCTTGGCTTGTCTGGGTTCTGAGGACGCTGGTGAGAGTCATTTGCAGTTTGACTGTGTGTGTAGGCAGCCATCTGAGGAGAAACAAATGCTGTGTTAGTGACAGGAGACTCCTTGATAAATGTTCTTTTTCTGTCTCTCTGCAAATTCACAACCACTCTGTTCACTTGGGTCTTCAGAAATTGTTTGTAATAGTTATTTACCAAACAAGCAAAGGAGAGATGAACATAAGGAGGGAGTAACCAAGAGTTTGGGCTTGAGTTCCCCCATCACTCTCCCAGACCGTGCCACTGTTACAGTGTGTGGAAGGGGGAGGACTGGCCTTATCCCCACAGTTATTGCTACCCAGCAGCCTTTCTGGGGTGCTTGGGATGTACGTGTATGCAGCAGCAGCATTAATGATCTAGCTTTGAAATTAGGCCTGCTGCACTAGGACTAGAGACTTCTAGATACTACTTCAAACCATACCCTTTCTATAATCACACCACTTACTGATAAGTGATGTTGCTTTTTCCATGTCATATGTTCTACGACTTTCATGTTTCTGGCTGTATAGTGACTCAGATTCATGCAGGTGGGTGGAGAATATCTGGAGTCTGATACCTACAGAGTCTTCTGGAGTGTGGGAGCTGCTAGGTCACAGTTTTCATGTCAGCCTAGGCGTCCCCTGTCTGGGCAGATAAGTATATTGCCAAACTTCAAGCCCTGAATCCTATGTGGCTGGTTTGTTCATTTGTTTTTATAGACTTTGGTTTCCACAGCAACTTTTAAGTCCATAAGGCTCAAATTTTCAGATGCATTTACTTCTTTGACACTTTCCTGGTCTATGTAGTCCTGTTCTTAAAGCTCAGTTCTTCCCTGGTTTCTGTATAAAAATCTTTTTATTCCTAAAAGAACTGTATGAATTTGAACTTGAACTGTGGACCAAGACATTACAACGATTAGTGGAGGAGTAACAGCCTCATTTAAAGAAGAAAGATATTACACTAGTCAGAAAATGGTAATCTCAAACATGCCACCCACTTTACCCTCTTTGTCAGAGCAGAGCTCTACAGTGGAGAAAATTTCAAGTAACACAAAAAGGTGTGATTATTGACCTGAACAAGAGAGGAAGCCAGAGACAGATTGCAATTATGCATCTTCAGAAGAAGAATATGAGAGCGTGTAGCTCAGTTGAGGTTGCTGCAAAAAAGCTTCCCTTGATCTCAGAAAGCTTGAGCCTGATGCTTCTCTCCTATTTTAAACCCGTTTTAGAATGCAGTCTGAACTACAGAGTTGCTATCCTGCAGCAGCTCCCTAACTCAATATTATGATTTCCCATTTTAATTTTTTTTATATATATAACTTTCTATTACCAGCTTTAATTTAACTGAAGTAGCTATCTTTCATAGTTCTGGTCATTATATAAAATATTGCTTAGTGTTCATATTTTCATTTTAAAATCTTCTCTTTCTCCTTCACGGTTTCTCACCCCAATCACCTGATCTTTAAACAGACATCAATTACATACGTTTTGTTCAAATTGTTTTTATTGTGCTTAACAAATACCAACTAACAATTGTGTTCAGCTCTGCCAGGACTGACCGTCAAAACATTTTGATCTGTATACAATACATGAATTACAACTTTCTTTTAAGCTTCATAATACTGGCTAGAGAGGACTAAAGTGCTGCTGTTGTGAACTTTTTCAGGAGATGATCTGATGCGTTGTGTGGATCTTTATAACCAAGCACAGTCCAAGTGGTTTGAGGAAATGGTGACCACCACTCTGGTATGTAACTCTGTGTAGTATCTTAAGTTTATATAGCATTGCAAAGTTGTAATAGCTTTTAATAACTTGCAACATTGATTACTTAGCTAGTTACAGGGAAAAGCATTGTGAGAATTAGGTGATAAATCTCCTGTGGTATCTTGTGTTCTCAGTTCTAAGAAAAACATGTCATTTGAGGTAAGGGAAAATAAATTGTTTCATTGCAGAAGACTCTAAACCAGTTCAGAGCTGCTTATGGGTGGGAATGCTGGAATTGTCCCCAGGAAGGATGAAGTAATGAGCAAGGAATAAATGGAAAGACACACATTAAATCACTGAATCCATTTATAAATTAACGAATTTTTGTTTCTATGATTTTAAACTCTCTTCATAAGTATTGCTGGCTCAGTAGAGATATCGTTTAATTTCTTACTTTTCTTATTCTCTGATGCTAACACGGCTCACAGTATTCACCCTAAGGGCATATGCCTTCAGGGTTAGTCACTAGCACAGAAAGATACTCTTCTAGCTTTGATGTGCTGTATTCCTTGAAATATGGATACGTTGGCTTTAGGGCTCCTCCCTCATGCCATTCCTTAGAGCCCTTCTGAATGACAGCCAGTTACTTTCAAAAGTGGGAAATGAAAATATCTTCTGTGGGTATTTTCCTCACTGGACAAACACAAAACTTCAAACTCCTCCTAATAAGAAGCAGAGTCAATTGCTCAGCATTTAGACGTGTGTCAGTACAGTATTTAATGTGCACTAAATAAATAAAGGCAGATGGGGCATGGAAATCCAGGAGGCAGATATATTCTCAAAAGCAGAACAAGAGAGGAAAAATTGGCAGTTCCCGTATGTAATGGATCTGATCCTCCTCTTATCTGCACTGGTGTTTTCTCACTGATAAGTGCCAGAGGTGTGGCCATATGTAAGTTGCATATTTGTTTCAGGGGAATCAGTACAACTCAAGTGCTTTTGTCATAGTCTATAGCCTGCACAGTAGGTTGGTTTGTTGTGAAATGGAAGCTGAGAAACATTTGAATATATGTCTCGGTATAATCGATGTAAGATCTAAATTCAAAAACAATCTGCATCCGATCCGTTCATATACAACACAAAGTCAAGAGAGTCAGAGTTTGAAGATTTGTGTTTCCTTGTGTGCCTTCTTTCAGGAAGTTTGTGTTACACATACAATGCACGTTCTTTGTATCACATGCTCATCAGCATTAGGACAATGGGTTCTGTTTCTTGGTCCCACGTAACATGTGCCCTCAGTAAGGGAGTCTGAGTTCAAACTGGCCCACTTTTTTCCATAAGCTCAGTACGTCAGCCAGCAACAGCAATAGATCAGTTTTTCAGTCCTGTGCATACCATGAGCTTCTTTGCTCTTCTTATTCCCCAGGCAGATAGTGAGCCATCTGAGATTTTCGTGCTATAATCAGGGATTTGTTTCCCACAAGACATCTAATAAATAGCAGTAAGCACAGTGAAGGCAATGAAGCAGCCTGCCTGCTTCTATATGCTGAGGTTGCACTCACCATGGTGCCCAAAAAGCAGACATCAGAAATGCTCTCTGAATGCAATTTTGGTTTAAAGATTTACCTCACTGATGTCCCTGTGGATGCAGAACTTTCTAGTAATACATCAGAGGGGAGTGTTAAGCCCATTTCAGTTTGTATCCTTAGAGATAAACTTCTGTGACATGCTGGTTCTACGACTCCCACTCAGATGGCCAAGGAAAGGACTAAATGCAGATTTTGACACACAGAACAGTATCAGAATCCAGGAGGCATACTGCCCTCCCTAGTCCTAGCTGTCCTTCAGAGAAGAGGGAGGCAGAAAAAAAAAATCAACAGGAAAGTTAGAAATCACCCGTCTTTTCAACTAAAGCATTGCTGGGCTTACAAGAGCAAGTGCTAGGTCCTGCACCAGGGACAGGGTAACCCTGGCTATACATACAGACTCAGCGACGAGACACTGGAGAGCAGCCCCACCAAGAGGGATCTGGGGGTTGTGGTTGACAGCAAGTTGAATATGAGCCAGCAATGTGCCCTGGCAGCCAGCAGAGCCAACCATATCCTGGGGTGCATCAAGCACAGCATCGCTAGTTGGTCGAGGGAAGTGATTGTCCCGCTCTGCTCTGTGCTGGTGCGGCCTCACCTCGAGTACTGTGTGCAGTTCTGGGTACCACAGTACAGAAAGGATGTAAAACTGTTGGAGAGTGTCCAGAGGAGGGTGACTAAGATGGTGAAGGGCCTAGAGGGGAGGGGATGTACGAGGAGCAACTGAGATCACTTGGAGTGTTCAGCCTGGAGATGAGAAGGCTGAGGGGAGACCTCATCGTGGTCTACAACTTCCTCATGAGGAGGAGTGGAGGGGCAGGTGCCGATCTTTTCTCCTTAATAACCAGTGATAGGACTGGCGGGAATGGTGTCAAGCTGAGGCAGGGGAGGTTTAGGCTAGACATCAGGAAGACGTTCTTCACCGAGAGGGTGGTTGCACACTGCAAAAGGCTCCCCAGTGAAGTAGTCACTGCACCAAGCCCATCTGAATTTAAGAAGCATTTGGACTGTACACTTAGTCACATGGTCTAAACTTTTGGGTAGACCTGTGTGGTGCCAGGAGTTGGACCCATCCTTATGGGTCCCTTCCAACTCAGGGTGTTCTATGATTCTTGCTGTCAGCTGGGCAAGGTGGAGATTTGTCCTAACCCATCATCTAGTGAACAGATAAAACTGCTATCAGGTGTCTGGTTAGAAAGAAGATAGGCCCTCTGAGTCATATACCTTGACAGAGTCTCCTGGTTCCCCAAGGAATCACCAAAGCTAACTTCAACAAACATGCAAAGCTTCTTGCAGGAAACAGATTCCCTCTTGGCTTGCAGTATCCCTGAAAACAGTACAATGCAAGATTTTACACTTCTTTTCTGTCCTTTGGCTAAGGCCGAAGTGACTTCTGTTGCTTGCTGTCTCTTCTTTGCAATTCAGGGGCAATCTCAGAATTCAGTTCCCAAGCATGACCCTGGGGCTGTATTGCACTGACTGGCAACCTTTTGTATGTCATCAGTTGGGAGGACGGGCCTTCCAGATCAGCTTCCAAGAAAAATGTGGACTTGATTTTTTTTTTTTTCCTCTTCAGGAGCTTGAGAGACTAGAAGTTGAAAGGGTGGAGATGATTCGGCAGCATCTTTGTCAGTATACACAGCTGCGGCATGAGACAGACATGTTCAACCAAAGTGTAAGTCTGCTTTTTGTTTAATCCCTTTGGTCTTTACAGCATTTCATCTGAGCTGAATGGTCCCTATCCTGATCTGACTAACTTGATACCAAAAGGAGATGTGGAAGTAGTGTATGTTGTCAGATTAAGTTTGCAGCAGTACTATAGTGCAACCCTCTAGTCCTGTTCCCCAAGACTTCGTGATCCTGCTTACATTTCATACTACTGGATCACAGCTTTTAGCTGGGGTATTGAATTTCATTTGAGCAGCATGAGCTGTTACCAGCTCTCCCAGCAACATATGCTATACCTCAAGGTCGTTTTTTTGTTTTTTTTTTCAATGAAAGATGGTAAATAGACGGTTTCACTGTTGGGAGAGGGAGTATATTTTTCATTTTAAAAAGGTCTAGTTTTCAAATATTTAAATACAGAGAATGTATGCTTACCTGCACTACATGGTTGTGTTTATTGTAAGGTATATCTTGCAGATCTAGATTCAAGAGTCTGACTGGATGGTGCCTGGTGTAGGAAGCTTGTCTCTGCCTGACACTGCAGGCCTGCCTCTTTTCTGCTTCATTTTACAAGGCTTCCCATTCTGGCTGTTGTCCCCTGGCCTCAAGTACATGCAGTACTTAGTTGTCAGCAAATGCCACGCAGGCATGCCCAAAGCAGTTCTGCACTTCAGAGCAATGACTGTATCCACTTGAAATGTACCATTGACATTTTGATTCTTGTTTTGTTTATTTCAGACAGTAGAGCTCGTGGATCAGTTGCTTCGGAAAGTGGATCCTGCCAAAGACAGGGAATTGTGGGTAAAAGAACACAAAACTGGAGATATCCGACCTGTGGACATGGAAATATAGACTGTTCTTATAGTTGTATGTGGTGAATTAACCAGGGTAATGTTTTTGGGGTCAGAAGAGCATATGGATAAGGTTGTTCCACTACCAGACACCTTGTAATTTATGCCTGTACTGGCTATCTCTGTTACATTTAGTCATTAAAATGGTCTTCATTGTGCTAACTAAGCCTTAAACACCAAACATTCCAAGGTGAAGAAAACAGGTGTGCATTTCCCACCAAAGGTTCTCAATTGCACGCAGCTTCCAGAAGAAATCTGCTTTCTGGTACAGAGAGAACTCTGTTCTTAAGTGACTTTGTGCTATATCCCTTGCATGACTATCGTATATACTATGTTAGAACAACAATGCAGTGTCTCCTCTGGCCAGCAAGTAGGTAAAAGAACATGATGCAGGAGGCAAGGAAGCCCTAATCATGAACCCCAGGTCTGTTACTGACTGCTTTCATGACCACAGGCAAGTCAATTAACTTTCTGGCTTCCCCATCTGTAAGACTTGCATATCTTGCAGCAACGTTGTGCAAATACATTTCATATAACACAGTTTCCCACCATGGCCCTTTTCCCCCATATCTATAGAGAGGACTCTTGTTCTTCCTGTTTTATACTCCCTCTCAGGGATACATAAACCCATTATTGTCATTGTTTCTGTTCTAGGCCAATTGATAAAGTTGAAAGTGTTATTTACCAGGAAAGACTTTATTGTGTTATACCTACCTCATTAGCTCAATGACAGAAAGAAGTTATATACCAAGAAATAAATGAGATGCTCTAAATCTTCCCTGCATATGCAAGATGTTTTCTTACGGTATCTTCTGAAAGACAACTCTCTAATATTTTGTTTGGGATTCAAGTTTAAATTGCCCTCTGTTGGTTCCTTCAGTTGAATATCAGAGACATAGCTATATTTAATTAACAAGTTCATGTAGCTAAATTATACTTATCTTTTTAGTTCCTGATTTTCAAAGGTACCATGTATCTGTGATTCTAGACTGCATTAAGTGTAGCTGTAGATGCCCAGCACTTCTGCATCATCATATATTTAAACACAGTTTTTTCCTTACCAAAAATTCAACACAGCTCTTGGCACAGTGGTTGGTAGTTTAGAGACTGTTTTTTAAAAGGTGTTCATTTTCTTCTTCCGTTGTTATTTCTGACTGATTGATCAGTGTTGCTGTTAATATATTAGAGGGCCCAAAAGTGGAGGGGCAAGTGCTGATCTATTCTCCTTAATCACCAGTGATAGGACTGGCGGGAATGGTGTCAAGCTGAGGCAGGGGAGGTTTAGGCTAGACATCAGGAATATGTTCTTCATTGAGAGGGTTGTTGGACACTGGAACAGGCTCCCCAGTGAAGTAGTCACTGCACCAAGCCCATCTGAATTTAAGAAGCATTTGGACTGTGCACTTAGTCACATGGTCTAAACTTTTGGGTAGACCTGTGTGGTGCCAGGAGTTGGACTTGATGATCCTTATGGGTCCCTTCCAACTCAGGATATTCTATGATTCTATTATTTCAGCATTTTATACTCAAGATTCTTACTTTCATATCCAGCAGAAACTGGTTGAACTATTTGCCCAGAGAGGTTCTGGAGTCTCCCTCCTTGGAGATCTTCAAAAGCCACCTGGATACGGTCCTGGACAACCTGCTGTGGCTGGCCCTGCTTTGAGCATGTTAGTTGTACCAGATGACCTTCAGAGATCCCTGCTAGCCTTAACCATTCTGTGATTCTGTGAAACCTTGATTTTCACCACTATAGCCTTTCCTTATTGTGTATTGTGGTATTAGCTACAGTATCCCAAACTATACTTTCTCATTTGATCCACGGTTTTGCTCTACTGTATCTCATTATTAACATCCCTTTTCCCCCATACCAAAATTGTGTCTTCCATTTGGCTGTTATTTTAAGCTTCTGTTCACCAGTCTCAGAGTATTTAAATTACTCTGCTGTGATTAGATCACTGATAATCAATCTTCCCCTTTACAAACACAAGCTGAGATGCAGAGAAGTCTTATCTGAAATACTTTTTAAAATATTGCTGCAAGTGATTATTTTTCTGGCTTGTCATTTCAAACTGAATTCTGCTGCATTCTCACAGAGTAGCTTTTTCTTTTTTTCAACCACCTCTTTACCTGTATAGATTCATAGAAAAATAATGAATCGCCTTTTATTCACCTTAAAAAATCGGATATTACAAATCATTCCCATCTTCAATAGTAAATGTCTCTTCAACACCCTTCCCTGTTGTGTTTTTAGCCTTTATAAACCTTTGCACATTGGCAGGTGCGATTTTGTGACTGCTGCATTCCCTGGATCACTCTTCCTGTTGTTGCTGATTGTTAGACCTGACACCTACCATACTGGCCTTCAGTTACACACTTCATAATCTGCATTTACAATTTTATTCTCGGTGTTGGAAGCATCCAGCATGCTGATGCCTGAACCATAGCTTGCCTAAGTGTCACTCTGTCTTTGAACTGTTAGACTACACACATTTTACTTCAACTCTTCTTAGTCTTCTTGGACAGGGAGGTTTTGTGCTGATAGGGCTTTTTCAGTCTTCCTATTTATTCACACTGTTCTCAATATGATTCTTTTTGGCATATCAATTTGTACTTTTCCTATTTCTACCATGCACTTTGGAGGACAGGCACTTTTTTTTTTTTTAAACCACAAATTCAAACCACTTTCAAAACTTCAGTGGCCAAAATTTACTGGTGCACTTGAGAGCTGCGTCTAAAGTCAACCCCTGTATTCTAAGCCATACTGCAAGTTAAAATGAGCAGTCTTGATGATATCTCATCACGTTTTGATTGCAAAACCAAACAAGCTAGTTGTACACTTTAAATGGTATTCTTGATAAATACCTGAAATACTCTGTTACCAATTATAGTTAATTTTTCCTCCTTTTTTCACAGTTGTTTATTATTTTATCTGCTTTGAACTGGAAATACTGTCCATTAGCACATGTTTCTCTGAGGGCTGAAATGTATTTTGGTTCCACTTCTAAACTTTTATCAATTCGCAGTTGCAGTTCCTGATTACTTATTTTTTGTCATTGTTTTTTTTTTTTTAATTATTTCCAGGCAGTTTTCCTACTTCTACTTGTTGGTCTGTTTGAAATGTTGCAGGAAAGTGTGAGCTGCATAGAATGATAATTCTTTTGTTGGAGGCTGTATTTTTGTTTTTCTTGCATAATATGAGGTGTGCACTTGCGTCTGGCTGTTGTTCATTTGATGGCCCAGCAAACCCAGCATGGAACTGCTCTGTACTCAGTGAAATATTTCCTATATAGTAGGAATTTTATCTTTTTATTGATGGAAGCATTAGGGAAGTTTTGCTGTTGCTTGAAAACAATTTGAATGTTTTTACGAATGATATTACATTGTGGTACCACATTGCAGAGTGGAATCAGTGATACTTGGTCCATTACCTTGTCTGGCTGATGGATCTTGAACAGTGTGACACCTTACAAATCAGGGATTGATGGAGATCCTATGCTTCTGAACAGCCTATATCTTTAAAGTAGTAGTGGCATGTTTGAAAGGAAGTATGGTTGCCTGCCCTCATGTTTCTTAACAAGATAACTCTGGGAGTTTCAGCATTGCTCTATTCATCATCGAGTTGCAAAAAAAGTCTCTTGTCATCAGAGGTCCTGAGCTCTGGTGTGATCTTGTTTTTCTGGCAGATGGGTCAACACATGTCATACAGGTTTTTACTGTTCTAGTTGCTATAGGTACCAGACTGTTTTTTATTGTTTGATGCTGTCTTGCATCTTCATATGGTTCCCTGTTCACAGAGCAGAAGGTGGGTGTTTGATTAGGATTGATTGCTTTTACCTAAAGAAGCACGATTAGCAGGAATTTGCCTCTGATTCTCACCTGGTAGCTCCACTTGCTCTGTTGTTTTTTTTTTTTGTTTTTTTTTTGAAGCTGCCTGTGTTTTGAAGTCCTTCCCCTCCTGCATAGCTCCCTCTCTATGATTAAGCAATGTTGTCACATACGTACTTGTATAATTCTGCCAAGCTTCTGGTTCCCTATTGATCTCCAGTTCAAGCAGAGCTTTTGAGTTCTGTCTGAGCTAGAGGGCTCTATGATCTCTGGTGGCTTTGAATCCCATGGGTGTCCTGACTCAGGTGCTAGAACAGGTGAGGTGTTCTGCAACTGTAATTTCAGCTACTGTACAGAATGCCTACATTTTATTCATTGTCTATACTAGTCTGCCTGTATATTCTAAGGTATATTCTTCTGGTACAGTTAACTCAATAGAAAGTCTTTGTAAGTCTTTCTCTGAGGTATTCTTTTTAACTTTTTTCATAACAGAATTGATTCTGGATCTAATGCTGTTAGCTGATTTCTGTTTGAGTTAATGAGCTGAAAGTAATGAGTCATTTGCAACATTGGCCAAGTGCACTCTCTCCATCACTGGCAGGATTCCAGTTGCTTTCATAGAGCAAGATTCAAAAAGGCCTAATTCTCAGATTTCCAACCTGCTCCAGATTCACGCACATCCGTAACTCTTGTTTGCTAGTCACTTCTATATGTTGAACTTGTGCTGTAAGTCATCAGTTGTTCTCTTGTAGGAAAGCTATTTCACTGGTAGGCTACTCTCCGTCATCTTTGAAAGGTCATGGAGAACAAGAGAGGTGTCTGAGGACTGGAAGAAAACCAATCATAGTATCATTAAGGTTGGAAAAGACATCTGAGATCATCTGGTGCAACCATCCCCCAACCACTGATATTATTCACTAGACCATGACCCTAAGTATAACATCCAGCCTTTCCTTAAACACCCTCAGGGATGGTGACTCCACCACCTCCCTGGGCAACCCCTTCCAATGCCTGACCACTCTTCCTGACAAGAAATGTCTCCTAATTTCCAACCTGAACCTCCCCTAGCGCAACTTGATGCCATTCCCTCTTGTCCTATCACTAGTTATCTGCAAGAAGAAACTGACCCGTAGCTCCCCACAACTTCCTTTCAGGTAGTTGGAGAGAACAACAAGTTCGCCCTTAAGCCTCCTTTTCTCCTGACTAAACAGCCCCAGTTTCCTCAGCTGCTAATCACAGGACTTGTGTTGCATGCCCTTCACCAGCTTTGTTGCCCTTCTCTGGACATGCTCCAGGGCCTTGATGTCCTTCTTGTAGTGAGGGGCCCAAAACTGAACACTGTACCTGAGGTGCAGCCTCACCAGAGCAGGGTACAGTGGGACGATTACCAGTGTGAGCTACACTATTCCTGATACAAGCCAGTATGTCATTGGCTTTCTTGATCACCTGGGCACACTGCCTTATCACGTTCAGGTGAGCATCAACCAACGCCCCCAGGTCCTTTTCCTCTGGAAGTTTTCCAGCCATTCTGCCCCAAGCAGTCAATGTCACTCCAGTCTTGAAGAAGGGCAAGAAGGAGGACACAGGAAACTACAGGCCAGTCAGCCTCACCTCCATCCTAGGAAAGGTAATGGAACAGATAGGGGCAATCATGCTTAACCAATCTGAAAGCCTTCTATGATAGAATGGCTGGGTAGATGAGGGGTGAGTAGTGGATGTTGTCTACCTTGACTTCAACAAGGCTTTCAACGCTGTCTCCCATAACATCCTCATAGGCAAGCTCAGGAAGTGTGGGATGAATGAGTGGACAGTGAGGTGAATTGAGAACTGGCTGGATGGCAGAGCTCAGAGGATTGTGATCAGCGGTACAGAGTCTACTTAGATGCCTGTAAGCTAGTAGTGTTCCCCCAGGGTCTGTACTGGGTCCAGTCTTGCTGGATTTATTCATCAATGACCTGGATGATGGAATAGAATGCACCCTCAGGAAGATTAGTGATGACACAAAACTGGGAGGAGGAGCTGATATACCAGAGGGCTGTGCTGCCATTCAGAGGGACCTGGACAGGCTGGAGAGTTGCATTGTTGGTAACCTCATGAAGTTCAACAGGGGGGCTGTTAAACTAACAGATTAAGTGATCTCTGGAGGTCCCTTTCAACCTCAGCCATTCTGTAATTACTAGATACGGAGATCTTTAGAGATGGCTTTAATTTTTATTTTATTTTTTTTTTTAATGTTAAAAGATCATAAGAGCATTGAAAGACATACAGAAATCCTTCTTATCTTCTTCGTATGTTCTTGGAACTCTTTTTTCCCTCTACAGTCCTACTTGAGCTGCTGTGGGGTAGCTGTATTTCTTCCATATTGCACAGTAACAGTATATATTGAAATCATTCGTTCTTTCATGCATAGCAGGTGATGTGCAAACTTGTTCTCTGTTTCTCTTTAAACGTTATGTATCTTCAGTTTCTTGTTGCAGAATTAACTGCTTTTTGTTAATTTTGCAACCCCATAGAATCATACCCCATGATGCAATGCAAGCCAGTGTAGCTGTTTTGGGACAGTCACCTGCCTGCAAGTCACTTTATTTTCTTGTATTTTATTCTCTGAACAAGAATTTTCTTTAAAGCATTCACAGGAAGCTTTTACATGGTGGTAGCAGTCATAATTACTCATACATTCTCAGAACATCTTTAAACTTGTACCTTTTTTTACATCATTCTTTAAATGTTTGCTGGAAGTGAGCCTCCATAGTCCTTATGCAGAAATGTACACTCTTTTGACCTGCTCTTTGGAAGTATTTAGCTGGCAGAGGTTTCTAGGAAGTCAGCAGGGCACACAGAGGTGATACCAGAGACTTTGAAAATAAGGGTATTGAATAGAAATTCACAAGCTTCCTTTTTTTTTTTTTTTTTTCTCCTCAGTCTCTCAATGAGGTAAACATTAAGAAATGAGTATCTCAAATACTTCATGTATGAGACCTAGCTGCTCTATGCAGTTCCCAACAGCTCTGTGTGTAATAAGCTATTGTAGGAGCATGGCTCTAGAGCTTACCGCTCTCCTGTTACTGCTCTAACGATTCTATTCCCAAAATAAGTGATAATGTGGCTCTGACCATCTGTTTGTTTTATCACAGAGAGAGAGAGAGAAAGAGCATTGCTTATCCAGGTGGGTCCTTCACTATGAAGCACCTTAGAAATCCAAACCAGCACTTTGAAGGAGCCCCTGAAGTGCGTAGATGTGGCTTCTTGGTGTGATCAACTGATTGCTTCATTCTGAATAGAAAAAATATTTGCTATTTTGTAATAGCCAGTGTGCTGTTTTGCACTAGTGCAGCCTGCTGGGCCTATTCCTAGAGATGGGAGTCAAGAGTTTGATGTCCTGGAAGCAGTCCTGGTCACTCTTTATATTTCCACTTTGCAAGAACAATGTCTTTTTTCCTGATCACTGAGCCTTATGTAAAGTCTGTAAGTGTTTTGCTATCCAGCACATGTTCAAACAGAAGAATCAGGTCCTAGACATAGTGGTTTCTGAAGCATTGCTGTGAATAATTCTTCCTGTATGGGCATTCCCCCTGTACAATATTCAGGAGCAGCTGACTGGTATCCTTCTGTGCATGGTGGAGGCATCTGACATTTTACAGAGGAACCTGTAGGTCCCTCTTAACCAGGTGAGCGATAGTCACAGGCAGATTCAAAGTAAAAAGTGTACACATAAGATAGTAAAATATTTAATTGCCCCAATGAAATTTGACTTGATGCTAGGCAGTCATCACCCTCAGAACCCTGATGGTTCCAGTAGAAGGCTCATACTGACTTTTGCTTAGCATATGAAAATCAGTAACAAAATGTTGCCTTGTATCTCTTCCTTGATACAGGGCTCTCTGACTAGCATATGATTGTACAAGCAGCAGACTGATATGTGGCAATACCACACTGATGACTGCAGAATGTTTTTTGGATTTGGCAGTAGTATGATGTCCTGTGCCACGGCACTGAACTGGCTGTAAGTCAGGCAGAAATGTGTCAAGCCTGGTTTGCAGGTATTCTCCAGGAGCTTGGAGAACAGTCTTTCTTTTACATAATTACGATGTCATCTTTCACATCAGCAAGTCCTTGTCTTCCTGAGAAGAACTGTTGTATAAATATTATTCATTACATTGTCTCATAGTAGATCTTATGTAAGAGGGCATCTGTCAATTTTAATTTCTTCAACTTTATTGTTACTGCATCCACTCCTTCATTACTGACATACACCAGTTTTCAAGATCTTCTTTGATTTTGAATGTTCATAGAACATTTCTTTTGCTTTTATATGCTGACCAAACTTCACACTTCCGGATATTTTCCAAGGCTGGTAAGTGCTTGCTTTTTGGAGATGTTGTTTTGGGTTTTGTTTTGGAGTTCTCTAAACAGCCACTAGGATTGGAAGTGCAATGACTCCTTTTTGTGCAAGTCACAGTTTATTTTTTCTCCCTGGAGATTTTTTTTGAAGGGACCAACACATAGCACAATTTAACTTAAATTTCTAATCCCATGTGTTCTCAAACAGAAACCTTTTGTGCCTAATGAAACATCTGATTCTAGCAATTGTACATGGACAAAATCTTTTAGAGACCAATAAAATTTGTCTTACAATAATAGCATTCTAATTACATAAAAATATATATAAATTTGAAACACTCAAATTTAACTCCCTCAACTTACATTAAGTTGAACTGTTTCAGGTGTACTGTAAGAGACAAACTCAGTGGATATTAAGAACAAATACTTTTCAGCTGCTATATTCAGGTTCAGTGAGTGGACGAGACTATAGTTTTGAATATATATAGTCTTTCAGAGCTACTGTTTTCATAAATAACTGAATAATGGCTTGTATCACAACCCTACTAAAATTCAACTAGTTGTTCCTCTTGAAGTGCCTCTTTAAATTATACATGCTACAACCATATAAAATACACAGATTGACCCTAAAAATTTTCAGAACTTAGGAGCAGCCAGTATGTACAGATCTGTGCAGGAATTTCAACCCTTCCTCCTTGTTCTGGACTGTGCACTCTTTTAGGGCATTCACATTTACATATTCCTGCCTTTATATCACTGATCATTTACAGTCTAACACAGGCATCATAAAATCATAGTGCTGAAAATGGAGAAGAAAATGTTAGCCATGTTAGACTTAACTGCATTGAAAGACAGTTTTAACTTAATCTTCTGACACAATGGTATAATGGTTTCAGTATAGGGGTCTCAGTAGGGAATAAACAGGGAATTCTGCATAAAATATAGTTGACTCAAGTAGCATTTGGGGCTTAAGTAATGCTATTTTTTAAAAACAAACCTTTACTCTTCTTTAAAGCAGTTGCTTGGAACATTTTTTCTGGTACTGGAAGTCCAAAGCTGAACAGCGATTTCAGGGATCTCACATCTGCATGATGTGACAGTCTTAGTCATTTGAATTTGGGAATGCTTGACCTGAAATCCCTTGTTCCTTTGGAAGTGTTTTGATGGGATGACTGAGATTTTCAAAACAACATAAGGAATTTTGATACCCATTTACCACTCTGTTACTACAGTATGACAAAATCTCTCTTAGGGACAGAAACCTCTATTCATTAAAATGAAATTTAAAAACAAACAAAACACAACAAAAATAACACAACAGGTTCTATTATTGGGCAAATGTTTTCTTCTCTTTAATTTCCATTCTTCCAGCAGCCCAAGGCAAGTGAAAAATCTAACAAACGGTTTTGCAGACATTCAGGCAGCAAGGATTCAAGGGTAGGCCAGATTACCAGTCATACAGTATAACAGAGTTTTCTGCTAAAATATGGTTGCTTGTTTGGTCCTTTTTGTGTAATTTGCTAAATACATTCTAAAATTTTAGAAAAGATGTCTCTCGCCACTACTAATTTCTTTTTAAAGATGTTTAACCAGAGTTTTGTAACGTTCCATAAATTTTGGCTGACTAGACCTCTTAAAATAGTTTATGGATCCTGCAGTCTCTGTCTAGGTAATCAGTAAATCTTGCATCATTGTGCAAATTATAGGATGAGGTTTGTTCCATAAAGGTACATGAAAGAATCACCAACCTGAAGAAGTTCAATGCAGAAAGCATTTAAGGGACAGATCTTCAGCTTGGGTAAACTGGCAGAGTTTGGTGGAAGCTACTTTATGTTAGTATGGATCATGTCCTTCAATATCGAAGGCATTTCCACTACATAATGTTTGTCTTACTGTAAAACTATTTCATATGGTTAAACTGTATTTTCCTATATTGTTCTGCAAGTTTATATGCACCACAGTGCTCATCTCATCTCCTGTAAAATAAACTGTACAGAGACACACTGAGCATGGAATTGTATATACCAGACTGTTTTTTCTTCTACCAAAGTCACATGCCTTTTGAATGCAGTATCATCAAAGTACACCTGGGGTGTCATATGCACATTTACTGCTTTGTTGATGCTAGTGTAACATAGCTATAATTTGCAATCACATCAATCGGGTGTAGTGTACTTTACATAAAAGGGTTAGGGTTACATAAAGAGACTTTATGTAGGGTTACATAAAGAGACAAAAACCCCCATATCCTTTTCAGACCTTTGCATGATATTCAGATGAGTACAATTGTTAAAATTTCATTTTTATATAGAAAACTATTTAAAAAGCAGTAGTTAAGTGGGTTTGATTCATGAACAGGCATGAAAGCAGCTGCCATGAAATGGGTGTGGTTTAAGTGCTCTGTCAGTGTTCTACACAGTCCTTTACCTGCAAGTCCCATGTTTACCTTGAAGTTTAGATGAAGAGAAAGCACTGTTGCAAAATGTTCTTAATAAATTGTTCTACTTTGAATGGTTGAGTTAACATGCATGCCGGCAGGTCTTCTAGCAAAGTCAAAGTCAGCCTTACCAAAATTCTATGTAGTCCAACAACTGTCTCCAAAGTGAGATACTGCTGGAAAAGCAGAGCACAGAACAAGCATGTGTCGCAGTTCTGCAGAACATGAGCTCACTCTCCCAGCAGCTTCTGATACACTGACTTTGAAGGTAAAGGCATTATCCACACATCTCATAATCCTCACTGGAGCTTCTTCCTAAGAATTTTTCCAGTTTTGATCTCATGTAAAAATTTATTTTCTTCACCCACCTGCAGAATAGTCCTATACTTGCATGATGTGTTTTTAAAGATAAAGGAATACAGGAGTTGCTAATAAAGGAAATTCCTAATGCATTGATGTGGTAAGTAGTTGCAGAATTGTGCTTACTCTTCACAGGAAAGGAGTAAGACACTGCAAAAGTTCTAGGTTGAAGCTTGGTTTTCAAAGCTGTACATTTGCACTTTGCCCAAAGTAGCCTAAATCTGCTAAAAAAAATACCTCAGAATGCTGTTTCAGATGTTGGTGCATGGTGTAGACCATCTTGGGGAATGCTTAGCAATTCTTAACATACTGTGGTAACACTTCATTGCACCTTATCAGCAAACATCATTTTTAAGTGCGGAGGACAATACAACTCTGAAACTGCAGATGAGGAGATACTTTACAACTCGTGACATTTGCTATGCTGGTGGGGTGGCTCTTAACTGTTATAGTCAAGGACCAGAGTGGATGATTGGGCTGTCAACCTCACAGTCTATGACATTTGGATATAAAGGGCAGAAGATTTTACTTCATTTTGCACACAAACACCTGTGCTAGTCTTTTGCAAACAATAATTACTCAAAAAATTACTCAAAATAATTACTCAAAAAAAAAAAAATTACTTAAAAAAAAAGCTTGGATTTCACAGTATAAGTAAGCTTTTGACCCTCTCACATTCCTCAGAAGTAGAAAAAAAGGTGGAAGGGTATCAGTGAAGTGATTTGGTTTCAGATTTCTTTCATGACTAATAAGTAGACATGCTTTATTCCTCAAGCCCTCATGTAATGCTTCTGACATTCCTGTTACTTATAAATAAAATCCTGTCAATTCTATCTGCATCTTCTGATGTTTCCTAATCAGCAACTTGATTTGGAAATCTCTGGATAAGTCCGTACAAGTTAAAAATATTAAATGGACATTGGAAGTGATTTGAATCAGGTCCAATTTGTTCTAGGTGCTGTTCTTCACCACCTTCATTATTTTTGTGCAAGGTTCCTTCATAAAAGAACTGTCTTCAGGGGTGGAATAAATTAGTCTTGTTGAAGGTAGAATTTTGGAGCAATTCAATTATTAAGTGACCTGAGAAAAAAATGCTTCCTGTGTTGCTGTTTTTGGACATGTACCACAGGCAGGATGTATAAAGCCCATTTGCAAGTCTCTTCAAAGGAAGACTCTGATCTAATGGCCCTACTGACAGATCTAATGGGAGACCTGCTAGTCAAAGAAAAATGTTTTAATCAGAATAGATTTTGTTCTGACAGTCCCAAAAACTGCAGGGAATGCAAATTGCACTGTGCCAAATAGCACCTGACAGGCTGTCGGCAGAAGTCTAGCCTGCAGGAGATCCTTTCTTAACCTGGCTGTGTATAGACCAGTTGGAGGAGATTTGGGGGAGTTCCCCAATGATGTGCTTCCAGTGGCCTGCTGCCACAGAGACATCTGAACTCAGAGATCATATGACTTAGCACATAATCAGTAAGTAATGAATGATGGCTTTTACTTGGCTCTACTTTGCACAGAATATTTCAGGATTAAGCCTCACTGTTGGCTACATATACTGTCCAGTATGCATCCTGTGCTGTTGAATGTAAGCATCAACTTTTGATGTTATATACTGTATTTCCATTATTGATTTTGGACAGTCATGCAACTTGCAGAAAAATGTAGCATTTCAGATACACCTGTTTCAGGGCTCTGACTGTGCAGTGACCTTCCTATGTGATAAAGGCCCTGTTAATTGATTTGAGAAAAATATTTTTGATTTATTTGTTATTTCAGACAGGACCTTCCCACAATGATAATACATTGTAGATGAATATTGAATACAGCCAGTAAGCCTGGAAAGCAGAGTTAGCATTTTTATCATCAGGAACAGCTGACCCTTATGTCACAGAAACAATACATTGTCACCTAAATGAAATGTTTATGTAGATCTACATTTTAAAATGTTATTTCTACATTTTCTTTCCCATATGCCTACTCATACCATCCACAATTTCCAAACAGCCAAATCTTGGGAGTGTCTAGAGCCCCAGCAATGCTTCTGCAGATAAAAGCAAAGTTAATCTTTTATCAATATAATCCCACTCTACCAAATGGTCAGACAAAAAGCATTGTACCATGGTGCTTACTTACTTATATTGGTCTGGACTCTGAAGAATGTTCAGTAATTATTTCCTGCTTTGAAGTAAGTGTTCTCAAGTCCTTCATGAGGTGTACTTATTTTTGACTCGTGTGATAAAAAATGAGTAGTCAGTAGGTTAGTAGAACTGAACAGCAACCAAGGTAAATTTCACTAACTGTGTTGTATTTGTGAGACATCAACCTTGTACTAGTTGCATGCTGTAGAAATAAACAACTCTTTTCATATGCATGTTTTGGGGTTTTGCACCATAGTTTGTAGCCTAGAAGCTAAAGGCTTAATTTAAATGCCCACTACTAACTCAGCTGAAGGGATGTGTAGCCTTCCTCTCAAGAGCTCTTCATGTCTCTTCCCAGCCTGTATTAGTTTTCAAATGTATCTGTATTTCCCCTCTCTTTTTTTGTGCCCTGCAGTTGTGGGTTTCCCTCCTTCACACAAAGTCTAAACAAGTCAGGAAGGCTTGTCTTACCCCCAAATCCTTCCTGCTAGAGGCATTTAAGTTAACTAACAGATCAAGTGAAAGGTGATAATTCCTCTCAGGCTGCACCGTCAAATTGCAAATCCTTATGCGTCAGAATGATGTCAGAAGTTTGCACTGCTCTGAAACAGATCTAGTTGCTGTGAGAAAGATCTTACTCCAAGCATTGCTTAATACAGAGATTCAGCCCCTGGTCATAGAAGGTCCTACAGCTATATGGACCAAGGCAGGAGTCTGAAGGAAGCACCACCAGGTACATGCTTGTGCACCCTTCCCCTGGCTATATAAGGTTTGCTATCACTGACAACAGAGCAGAAAGAAGTAGAAATTGTGAGTTTCAGTAATGTGGCAAAACTCATAGCCTCAGTTTTGCTTGGATTTTTTTGTTAAAACATGATGTGCCCCAGCAAAACCCTTCCACCCATCGCTTCTGCCCCATAGGTGAATGTAGCAGAGTCTTGTTCTGTGTATGTGCATTTACACCTGATCTGTGCTGATCTGTTTTACATATGAGATCTGAAAAGTTCAGATTGAGAGGCACGGGCTCTGTTTTTGTTAGACAAGAAACACCCCAGGTGCTTGACTAATTAAAAGAATAGTGATAGAGACAAACAGAGAAACAAACAATCTACTTAGGATTAAGTTTAAATCTATTTAGCATAATAAATATATCTAAGAATATCATGGAAAATGATCCTGCTATTTCTCATGAACATAAGGAAAACTGCTGCTAGGTGTTTATTTTTAAAATACAGGAGGTGGAGTTATGTCTGGCATAGGTTTTCCATAGACTATTTCCCTTCATGCAATTTACTACCTGAGGAAGAACCCCAGAATTATTTGCTAGGGCCCTTTTGCTTTCCCTCACAGTTCAATGCCATTTCTGCCTTTAGAGTGCAGATTTTGTTTTTTTTTTTTTTTGGAGTGCATGTTTCTGTCTTACACAAGATGTCAGTGTGTCTCTCTTTTTGCCTTACAGGGTTTCAGATTTGAGTGTACTTAGAAAACTGCAACTGCATTGAATATTACCAGGTCTGCTGTCAGGACTGGTGATGGAGCATGTGCAGACACAGGCCTGGCAGAATAAAAAGCTGTTATGTCTTGCCCACAAATGTGTCAGCTGATTGCTTTCTAATACCTGGCTTCGTTGTTGTATTAACTCATGCTTGCAATGTATCCTGATTTGGAATGGAAAAAGGAAAGAGGTGACAGATGTGACATATTTCTAACTGGTTCCTTTTCTTTGCATATGACCTTGATGTCAAGTATAGTCATCAGAGGACAACACCACATTTGCAGCCACATTACATACCACACTTCCAGCATTAAGTCAACCCAAATCTGCAATCCTTGACAGGACTGTATTTTTCCAGGCAAAGGAAGTTTGTTGGACTTAAGACCTTCCAGGGCAGGGCAGTGGTGGATCTGCAAAAGATTCTTTGCTTAAGGGGTAGGGTATAACCTGCAGCTAAGGAGAATCACAGAATCACAGACAGAATCACAGACAGAATTTCTAGGTTGGAAGAGACCTCAAGATCATCGAGTCCAACCTCTGACCGAATGCTAACAGTCCCCACTAAACCATATCCCTAAGCTCTACAT